GTCTGGCTTTTCACCTACGCAGCTGGTGTTTGGGAAAGATACTTCAATGCCAACCAATCTCATGGAGGCCTTGGCAGGACAATTTCACTACCAGCTTGCACGGCCGACATCACCAGAGGATTCCTTCTTCAGAGCCAGCCAGATCAGGAAGGCAGCGTCAGATGCCTTTCAATGGATGGAAGCCAGCGACGCACTGAAGAAGGCTGCCGGGTCCAGAGCGAGACTTCCGAAGTTGGAACTATTGACAGAAGGAGCACAGGTGATGTTTTGGGAACCCCCAGCACACAGGAGAGGATTGTCAAGAAGACTTCAAGACAATGTGTCTTGGCTGGGGCCTGCGGTGGTGGCGGCTATCGAGAGGAAGGACGGATCCATCAAGAGAGTTTGGATTCGGTACAAGAACAAGTTGAAGGGAGTTCCGCTGGAGTTTGTGAGGTTAGCTGTGGCAGAGGAGCATGAGGCCACGAGCATAACCAAGGAAGCACTCTCGGAACTCTCCAAGCAGTTGGACTCCGGCAGGGTGAATGCAGAAGTTCCTGACTCCTCGTCCTCGTCTTCAAGTTCTACGGAGGAGGAAGCGGCTACAGGTAGCACGGATGCCAAGAAGAAGGTTTTGAAGACAGTGAAGAAGGATAAGGAGAGGAGCACGGATCAGGTGAGAGTGCCTGATCCTAGATACCCAGTGATGGAAATGAGTGACGAGGAGGATGAAGGAAATCACCCTGTGTCGGCAGAACAAATGAGGAAAGCATCCTCACCTTTGGATGATGTGCCGATCTCCATTCACCGACAACAAGTTCCGGCTTCAAAGCCTTCAGGAGGATCCAATAGACCGGTGGTTTCCTCCAGGCCGATCAAAAAGGCCAGAACACATGAAGGAGCTCGAGCAGATCCATCGTCAAGGCCATTCTTGGAGCGCCGGGGCATGTTTGACAAAGCGCTCAACAGAACGGAGGAGCATTTCAGATCTATGCGGCAGAAACTGGAACCGAAGACTGTCCAGATTGCGGTGCCGACACAGCAGGAGAGTCCTGAAGTCCTACATGTGAACGTCCGAAATGACGATCCTCCGTACGTCAACTTGGAGAAGTTCAACGGCACGGAGTATTCAGATTCTGACGCTGATCTGATGGAAGCATTGGAGCGGTCCTTGACGACGGAGATGCTGCAGCACTTGCCCGTGGTGGAGCTCAGACACATGAGGAGGAGACCGACAGGAGAACAAGCTGAGCTGGGAAGGTCAGCCTTGAGAGAAATGGATGAGCCGGTTTTAGTACGACGTGTGAATCGTCAAAGGTACACCTTGGAGTACAAGCCGGCGTCACCGTTAACAAGGTCTCGTCTGCCCCCGCCACCAGGTCACGTCATTAACATCTTGCCTGAAAGTATGAAGAGGCCATTGGTGGGTGAGCGACAATGGGAAATTCTACGACGACAACGCCAAGATCCACCTCCTCAGAAGGACTACTGGATGTTGAGTCCGGAGAAGACGGAACTCTACCGGATACATGTGGTCCCACGGTTCCACTTGTTTGATGTGCTGGCCTTTCATCAGGAGAAAGGCCTCAATGACCCACATGTGGACCCACCCAAAGGAATTCCGAGGAGTTGGATCACTGGAGCAAGGACTACGCAGGTCTACTATGTCAACAACCCGCTTGAACCCCACAACTATGTGGGCTACGGCCCAATCCCTCAATCAGCGATGTTCATGCACCCAACGGTGGCCAATGAGAGGATGTCTGAATTGATCGCAGACAGTGTCAGGTGGACTGGATGGAACACTCAACAGAATTTGTTGGGTTATTGGCAGGGTGTCACACGGTTTCAAGTACAAGATCCTGACGAAGCGGAGTCCCATTTGGTGCATTGGCTAGAAGCGCGTCATTTTGCAGAGGATGCCTGGCGTGCTGGACAAGACCTGGTGCACCAATATAGAGAACTGCAGCTGGAATCAGGTTGGCCAAATGAGACGTTGATGACACAACACCTTGCCAACATACCCAATCTGGATGTCAACCAAGTCATGGACATTGTCAACTTGGCCAAGGATTCTTTGAAGGCAACTCAGCTTGAGATGCAGGAGATCTTTTTCAACTTTGTCCACTTGACGAACGTGCAAGAACCTACACCACATGCCCCTCATCAAGGACAAGTAGAACTGACACATCTTCCTGAGGAGCCTGTGGATACTACGTTGCCTGCAACAGGAAAGGTTCGACTTGAACTTCAATGGAGCAACCTTTCGCCAGTTTGGCAGAAGGCATTTGAGCAGCCGATCAAAGACGCACTGGACATCTACTTCAAACATGATGCTTTGGCTCCGGTGATGCCGAACGAGGTGGTGGATGCTTCCGAGATCCTTCCCAGTCGCTTTGTCTTGGTAAACAAGACGGATCCTCGGAATCAACACCCAACTGATGCAGATCTTCCAGATGCGAAGCTCAAAGCCAGATTGGTCATTGCAGGACACATGGATCAGAGAGCAGGAGACTTTGAGACAGAGGCTCCAACTGCAAGCTTGCTTGCACACAATCTCTTATGCTTTTTGGCGACACAATGGTCTTGGAAGATGACATTTGCAGACATTTCAGCAGCATTTCTGCAAGGAGACTACTTGCCGGCAGAGAGAAGGGTTTTTGTGCGATGCCCAAAGAATTATCCTCTTTTTGTACGACAATACTTGATGAGCAAGTTACCCGCAGGAGCACGCACTGATCTCATGAGGATGAAGAAGGCAGGTTTTGGTCTTGCAGAATCGCCAAGGCTTTGGTACAAGAGGTTTAAGAGAGGAGCCGAATCAGTTGGTGGACGTGAACTTCACCTATGTCCAGGAGTCTTTGCCTTTTTCCAAGGGGGCAGGGTCATTGCGCTTTTGGCTGTCCATGTGGATGACGTGAGGCTGATTACAGACAATGAACATGAGAAGGTCATGATGGAAAGGCTCAATTCCCTTTTTACGTTTGGGGAATGGGTTCACCCGGTGCAATGGACGAAGTTCTGTGGCCGTTTTGAGAAGCAAATGCCAGATGGAACTGTCTACATGCAGATGGACCAGTATGCCGAGCGTCTGGTAGATCCCCCTCAACGACCACGTGGACAAGAACATCCTCTGTTGCCGAATGAACGCAAGTGGATCGGAACTTTGTGTGGACAGCTCAACTGGATGGCTAGACAATGCAGAGCAGATCTGGCCTTTGGAGTTTCCAGAATCCAACAGTTGGCTGGAGTAGCTGATCCGGCAGCCTTGGTGGAGCTCAAGCTCTTGGTGGACAGGGCGAGAACTCCGGTCACCGTGAAGTTCGAGAAGCTGGGATGTGAGGTGAAGGACATGGTGGTGGTGTGCACATCAGATGCTTCTTTCGCCGGAATGCCGAGGGGAAGATCTCAAGGAGGTTTTGCAATTGGGTTTGCCAATCCTGACATTTTGTCAGGGACTGCACCGTTCAATGTGGTGCACTACCACTCTGGACTGCTCAAAAGGGTGGTCCGGTCAAGTCTGGCTGCGGAAATCAGTCAAGCAGCTCACACGCTTGAAGAAGGCGACTTCGTCAGAGCCCTCCTGGCCGAGATGATCTCGGAGAACTTCGAGCTCAAGATGTGGGTGCCGCATGTGGCGCAATGGAAGCTTGTCTTGGTGCTCGACTCTCGCACCGGATATGACCTGTTGAACGGAACAGGTCTTGGTGAAGACAAGCGATTGGCCATTGACATTGCGGCCATGAGACAGGCCCTTCAAGAAGATGGTGCCGCTCGTCTGGTCAGATGGGTCCCAGGCGAAGAGCTCATCGCTGATGACCTGACGAAACTATGCGGCAACCAAAAGCTGATGGCCACACTCGCTCAGGCTCGATGGGCCCTGAAGGACACGGATGTGGCGAAGCGACTTCGAGCAGACGCTGCCGCGAGGAAGAAGAACTACCGGCAGCGCATCTCGGCTGGTCGTGAAGAAGCCGAGGCCCAGCGAAGGAGCTGAACACACACTCCAAAGGGGGTTAGTGTGAGTTATGCCTGACTGGGAGCCGGTCACGGCCCGAGGCTAGGGTAAAAGTTTGTGTGCGGTCCTGCACTTTCAGTGATACTGTATATCTATCTATATCTCACTATATCTCACACGATCTCACACTACCTCGACCTCTCAAAATCGACTTTGTTCTCTTCTCTGTAGTGAGAACAGAAGAGCAGCTTAGGTTCATTGATACATCCCTCTCCCGGTGCTGCTACGGTGCTCTGCCAGGCGCAACTCCGTCCCAAAGAACAAGGCCGTAGTACCGCTGCCGCTGCCACCGTGGCTGCCCTGCAGTTCAATGTGAAACGAGGTGTTGTTTCTTAGTGGTATCAAGCTAGAAAGTGTAAGAGGATTTCATCGCCCTGGGTCCAGCCAATACCAGGCTCAGTAGAAAGGTCATTGATGAATACACCTTGGGATCCTTGGGGACCTTGTGTGAAACGCAGCTGTCGTGGGGAGGCTCCCAAGAGCTCTGGCCTCAGAATCTTTCACGATACATGTGATCCATTCCCTGCAGATGCTGACCAAAACACTTCAAAATTGTTTTGATTGCTCTATCACTCGTTTATCCAAACGAAGGTCTGTAGTTTCAGGTTTCGACAATGGTAATCCGGTAATCCTAAACTTTTGAGGCATACTCATCAGAACGTCTTGGAAGGCTGACTGCATGGAAAATCAGTATTTAACAAGAACCGGTTTAACCATGTTCTGCGTATCAGAAGATATCATGAGATCTTGTGCGGCTCCGCATCATCTTAGACGCACCCTTCATAGTTGAGGTCTAGCTGGGCACACAGTGCGTCTGCTTCACCAAAAAGAGGGTGAAAAGGGAGATGTTCTGGGCTACCTTGGTCTCAAGGCAGGGGTGAAACCATGTCTGGGCCGCCATTGAGTCGCTGCCAAGTGGCTTCTTTTCCTTTTGAAAAAGGGGGGAGACTGTGATTCCGAAAGCCAATATCGCTAACGATAGGGGTTCCGCAACGATGGCGTGATGGCAGTGACGCCAGTGCTGCGACATGGTGGGACCCCATACGACTGTGAAACGCAGGTGGCTTTATCAGTTCCCGATCGCGAGCGCCTGGATTGGGAGTTGATCGTCCTGGACGCCAGTCGTGCCACACAACTGGGGCGCCATGTCAAGCTGCGCCGTGGTGATCGAATCCTGCGGGTTGAGGAGGCCATGACGGCTGTTGGCGCATGGGGGGTTCACAGTGATTTGGGAAAGGAATTCCCCGTTTCATTTCTATAGTAGGTTTGATTTTCATACAACCTGGCATGTCTTGGCTACGTTTTAGAGCTCTTGGTGTGACTTTTGACCTTTGCACGGTGGAAGCAGACAACTGGTTTGTATTCTGTATGTAGAGATAGATACATTAGTCGCATGAGATTAGGTTCAGTCTTTCAAGCCTTTGAAAACACATACTTCACATTGCACATGCTTCAAAGTTGTGCTTCAAAGTTGAAACTGCACCTTAACTCTTACTCTTAAATGGCTCTTCCTCATTGTGTGTCTCCCCGCTCAGGTTTCAGAGCTGAGGGAAATGACACTTGGTGCTGCCAAGGGGTCAGTTTCCATTGTCGACTGATGGCATAGATACTGTACCTGACTGCTGAAGGTTGACCATACCAGGGGTGTTTGTTGATAATTTTGCCTTCGTGCCTCATTACCATCCTTACCACTCCTTACCATCCTTACCTGATGATTTTATGATTTTCGCTTGCTTGTAAGATGTGCCTTGAAATAATCCTGTTCCAATCGCAAGGATTGCAAGCCTGGCTGCGTTGGACTCCCGTGGCGCAGAAGAGCCCGAGGCTGCGATGGATGGAAAACCCCTGAGATCCTCATATCGAAACATGCCGATTCACGTGCCGATTCAACTGGGCCTTCAATTGGCTCACCGTTCTAATCGTTCTAATCGTTCTACAATGAGTCTACAATGAGTCTACAATGTGATGCAGCATTTTCCTCAGCCCAACCTTTCGACACTGATCGAGGAGGTGGAGCTGCTGGTGGATCTTCGAAGCTTGCGAGAGGCCGACAAAGCTTTGGAGAGCGCACTACCACTCTCCTGCAAGGTGCAGCTGAAAAGTTTCCCCGGCAGAAAACACACTGCCATTGAAACAAACAACTAGCAACATCGCAGGGTCAGGCAAGAACAAGACTGAACAAGCAACTGTGATGATGCGAGAGCAAATGGTTCAGGGTTCCTGGAGGATATAGGGGCAATCACGTCCAGTAATGTATTGAAACTAGCAGTCCGAAAAGGCTGCTTTGGCAGTGCGTGGATAAGGAACTTTTGCTTGTTAAGCTTGTTGACAGCTTCTTTGCGTTGAACTTTGGCATCGAGAACCCCACTCTTCCCCAGGGCTTCAATCTGAACCCGGAATTCCCGGCTGCGGGCTCAGCACTTGAGAGACTTGCCCCACCTGCATAGGTGCCTTGCTCTTGGTGGTTTCGAAACGGCCTTTTTTGTTTCTAAAAGAACCCATTCTGCAGCGCTAGAGCCGGGCAGCTGGGCAGCTCTGCAGCTCGTGCCATGATCAGGTTTCGGTACAGGAACCAATTGGTAACCAACGTATTTGCGTGGTAAAATTTTAACTTTGATATGGGTATGGGTCAATACCTATAGATACATTTTTAGTGGGATGAACATCCATAAATCCCAGCTATGACTTGGGGTTCACTAAGTTCACTAGGTACCAGGGTTTTGACTCATCCCCATATGAATACTGAATAGTTGGTTCTTGGCCGCGAAGTGGAGGCTTGGACCATGTATCATCCATGTCGATGCGCTGAGTCACATCGCGGGCCATGTGACTCAGGACTGTGGCGAGGAGTCGCTGGGACTGCCGCGCCCTGGCCGCACCGAAAGCTCAGCGACTGATGATTTGGATTTTTGGTGTCAAGTTGTGGGGCTTTGTGTAGTTTGGCAGAGTATCTAGAGATGTCAAGCTGCATGTGGTTTTTTCTCGTTGGAAAAAAAGGGGAACTATTCTTATGTAGAATATGATGCAGTACAGGGTAGAGCTTGAAACTTCGTTGTGCAACTGGCCAAGAGGGGATTCCTTGGCTGAACCATGCTGACAGCCTCAGGAGCTACACAGAAAAGAGTCAAAGCCTTGTCACTTTCGAGGGCAAGGACCAGATCATGATGACTCGGCTGAGGAGGCCCCGCTAGTTCTGCAGTGTGGGCTGGGATCCAGTGGATCCAGTGGATGTTTCAGTTGGTCCCAAAAGGTTTCTTGTTGAAGTCACATAAGTCACCTTTGGCTCAGGGTGATCCGGGACCTGAACGTCCAAGAAGCATCGCAAGTGGTGGAAAAGCTGACGAAGCGACCGCAGTCACTGGCTCACAATGGCAAGAGTCGTGACTGCACAAGTTGTATCTTATGATCAAAATTGAGGCCTCACCCATTTTTCAGGGATGCCAGGTATTTTGCGCCCTGCTGAGGCCATCTCTGTTGGTATTTTCTCCGGCCGATGCGGCAGCAGATGCGGTGGAATTTGAGGCTCGCGGCTCTGTACTTGGGTGTATCCAGTGGATGCCGAGGATGGGTATCCCCCAGAAAGAAAGAGGGTCTACCAGGTGCCAATCCTTGGTTTCTTCAGAATCTTGAGAAGATGGGGATGGGTCAAAACCCTGGTACCTAGTGAACTTAGTGAACCCCAAGTCATAGCTGGGTTAAAATGGATGTTCATCCCACTAAAAATGGTAATACTATAGGTATTGACCCATACCCAGATGATGCCGTCGCTCCATTCTGACAGAAGATCTGAGAGCAGGTGGAGCGACTCAGTGAGACGCTGCTTGGCGCTGCAGGTGTGGGTCAAGTTCTTGACCTCTGAGATGGGTTGAGATGGGTTGTTTTCCAGACAACAAAACTACCAATGGCTTTCAGGGTCCCAGATTTTTGGACATATGAATAAACCATGGTTTATTTTTTTTAGGGGGGCACTCCTCCAATAGTCACAATCAAATACTTAAATGGATTTAAATGGTACCCCCCCAATTAAACAATCTAGGGGTTTATTAATCCAGGGTTGACGTTACCCAAGTTGCCTACATCGATGCCATTTGAAGGCCTGACTGGCAGTGGAGGAGGTGGACGTGACCTGTGGAATGCTCTGGTGACTGGCAGCCGGGGCGGGCAGTAGAAAAAGGGCAACCCTGTGTGCTAAAATGGGGGATGACAAAATCATCAAAATTTATTGGGAAAACTAAGGTTTGGGGTACAGTACCCCAGGCGAAGTTCTGGAAATGAAAATTGGCTTGTGCGGATCGGATGGGTATGTCAAAGGCGCCTACAAGCGGTTGATGCTTCACCTGTTGCGTATCAGAAGGTATAGCGGTTAATGACTTTGCGTGGTTTGACTTGAGTTTTTAGTCTGAAAAGATTGAACTGGCATTTCAATCCTGCAGCTGGGAAACTATGATATTGATTTGCACAGCCAGGAATATCAAGTGATTTTTCTCCTCATTCATTGGGGAGAGAAACACTTCTCACATTGTTTGTGTGGTCCTCGTTTTGCACGGGCTTCGACTGTGGACCACCTTGGTCTGTTGTGGTTTTACTCGAGGTGCCTTGGCAGAAGCAGGGCATCTCAGTCCCGGGCAGCTTTTTTGCACGGCGGTAAGACATCATGGTTGAGATCTGGTGGAACACCTGGTGAAACTGGTGAAAGCCATAGGAGTTCGCCTGTGTTCAAGGCAGTGGACGAATCCGGCGCAACGGAGGCAGACAATGATTTGATGGTGCTCAAAATGCTATGGGCTGAATAAGCATAATAAGCCAGCAAAAAGAGGCAATCAATGCATGGTCATATGGTCAGCATTTGCCAACAAAGCCCACTGATAGCTCCTTCCCATGTCGATTAGCTTTGATTTCCCATGTGTAGATCGTCTAGTCACTTTCGCGACCAGAGGGCTTCACAATGCCGTTGGATGGCCTGTGGCTGGAGGCACCAGCAAATCGGAGAATGAACATTCCATTCCTCAGGTGAATGACAACCATTCCAATGAGTCAAGACATGCTTGGTTTGTTAATGATGTCAATGACATTTAATGACTACCAGTAGTTCGCAAGACATGGTCATGCAATGTCATGCATTGCGCGTGGACTGAAGCATCAGTTTTAAGCGCCTTACTGAACTCCTCTTGGAAAATTCAGAAGAGAGCTGGGGCCCTCGGGACCTCTGGGGGTACAAATCCAGTTGTTTGGGCTCTGGAATGCAGCGGCGCTTCCGATGCCAGGCCTTGTACAATGTGGCTGCCATAGCTTTAGACTTGCGCCGAGAGGACACTGAGAGCGCAGGTTGCTGTTGCATGCTGTTGCATTTGGTGTCAATTGGTGTGTTAATTAATATCACTTGCCAGGAAGAGTGCCGAAAAAAATTTGGGCTGTTGGACACTGGTAGAGTCTGAATTCGTCACTTGGCTATGGATCAATACCTATTAATACCATTTTTAGTGGGATGAACATCCATTTACCAGCTATTTTGATGTTCACCAGGGGTACAAGGTTTTGACCCATCCCCAATTCGTCACTTTTTCAGGAGATTCAATTCTACACAGACGCCTGGTGTACGCGCGGGGGCATTCCAGCACTGGGAAAACTTGGGCTCCAAAGGCTTTTGATAATCTCCATCTGGCTATGGGTCCATTTCATGGTACCGTGGTCGACATCAAAATGGCTGGTAACTGGATGTTCAATGATGTTCATTCCTTCCCTTAAGATGATATTTCAATATATTTCACATATATTTCACATTGTTTCACCAGTTTTTCAGCTGTTTTATGGGTTTTTAACCCATCCCCATCCGGGTTTTTTATTTCGAGCTGTCGATGACCCGATGACCCCACGAGGCACCATTGAGATGGACTGGCACCGTCAACTGGACGAGGCCAGTTTTCGACTTCGGCGTGATGCAAAGATGCTGTCAGATGCTGTTTGAAGTTGAGATGGGTCTGGGTCAAAACCCTGGTACCTAGTGAACCCCAAAATAGCTGGGATTTATGGATGTTCATCCCACTAAACATGTATCTATATGGTATGGGTATGGGTATGGGTCAATACCTATAGTAATACCATTTTTAGTGGGATGAACATCCATTTTAAGCCAGCTATGACTTGGGGTTCACGGCACGGTACCAGGGTTTTGACCCATCCCCAGATGAATTTCAGTGACCTATTGACTTCGAAACTTCCGAAAACTTCTCAACTGATTCTTCCAATATATCTTCCAATATCTTCAAATTTTTGCAGAGATTCCCGAAATGGAATTTCCTCAAATGATGGATTCCGGTCGCTTTTATCGAATCGCAGATTGATGAGACTTTGGGCTGGGTCTCCCAGCAGGTGGAACACCTCAAGGCAGTGCATCGTTCCATCGAAAACAAAAAACACGTTTTTTCGCCAGGATGCAACGACAACATGTGGCCTCTGTGTGGCTTTTTTAAGCTGCTGAAATCTCAATGAAATGCCAATGAAATGCCCAATGCCAGTGCCCCCTCTGTGATTTGATGAGCTGGGTATCAGATTATCATCAGTTGGTAGTCTCCGGATGTTGGTTAAGCCCTAATTTTCCAACGAAGCATGACTTTGCTTGTGTTCACGGGGCAAAAAATTGTTACATGTGAAGTATCCTCAAGTATCGTGAAGTGTTGTTCGATCTGACTTGCAAGGCTGCTTCAAAGGTCTTTGATGGCAGATGGGATCATATGTTCTTGGCATTTCTTGGCTGTACATTTCCGCGGTTTGTGATGGCGTTTGGAAGGCCAAAGCTCAGCAAGTCCTGGTGATGCGGCGATTAGAAGGTTGGGTGCTGACGGTGCTGACTGTGATCGCAATGCTCAGCAATGACATGTGACAGTTGAGACCCAGCCCACGGCTCAATCGCTTGTGTTTTTACAAAACATAAGCAGACTTAGCAGACTTAGCAGGTCTTCAACAAACAACGACTCGACTCTCCAGTCTCTTAGTGGACACAGATTTCACTGCCTCTTACAAAGCCGCGGATGTGAGCCTTTTCCCATGGCCCAAAAAAACATCCTGGTGACAGTTGCAGTTGTGGCAGCTGCAGCTGCAAACCCTGGGACATGTGTTGCAACGAAATGTGCCGGAGCACTTGCCAGGCGGGGAGGTGGGCTATGTGTCACCCCTTGATTAAACCTGCCTTGACCCTGGAATCCCTGGAGGTGTTTGGCAGATTCCGTCTGCAGGCCTTGGATGTTTTGCACCCCAAGATGTCCAAAGAATGACTTGGCTTGCCAGAAGCATGGCTGAAAGAGAGGTGCTACCCGCTGGTAATTTAACATAGCTATGGAAAATCACTATTTTCCATGGGTAAATCCACTATAAATGGCCATTTTGAATAGCTATGTTAAATTGCCAGAGGGTAACTCGAGTTTGATTTCACTTGACACCTTGTGGAACCAGAGAAAGTCATCGTAAAATAATTGATCTTGTAAGCTCCTGCATATCCTGCCTCAAGGCGATTTGTCTTGTCTCCGAGGATTAGGTGTGGAGACCTCTACAAACCCACAGATGGAAGTGCTTCGAAGATCGATGAGTTCAGTGAGTGCAGTATCTCAGAGCATCACTGCGTCCCACAGCAGAAGTTGACCTGTTCGATCCCTCGAAATGCGAAAGGACGGCTGGAGCTCAACACATTGACTGGCACCTGGTATGTGACTCGCGGCTGGAATCCCATGTTCGATTGCTTCGACTGCCAGGTGCATCACTTCAGCCTTCAGCAAGGAGCGAAACCTCTGCTGGGTGATTTGAAGTAACTTGCTGCAGCTCAAACTTTTGTCCCTAAAGAATCCTAAAGAAGGATTCCTGTTTAGCAGTGGGATCTATATCAGTCTATATACCATCTGGTTATGACATTCACAGTTCGCCATGGAAAGATCCACCATGCTATTAATAGGTAAACCATCTATTTCTATGGGCCATGGCTTCCATGGCTATGTTAGTCATAACCAGAGGGTAAATCACCAAGCCTATGTAAGCTTTTATAGCCTCGACAGATGACATTTTTTGACGCCACGTTGGCGCCTGGAAGCATCTGGAAGCCCTAGGTATGCGGTGAAGAAGGACTTGACTTGCACTGCGCCGAATTGCGACTATCTTCCACGTGAGGTTCATCAAAGCTTTGCACAAGATCCTGAGAACCCCATGCACCTCATCAACCACAACAACTCAGCCAAGGACGTAGAATGCTTCAGAGTGTGCTGGCATTCTGGAAATATCTGGAAGTGAGTTTGATTCTGTGACACTATGTGACTAGGCGTTACTAAACGACTGCTGGATGCAAGGACAGCACTGGTTATACTGGTTCTGTCACTCCAAATCAGCTCCCTACTATCTACTGCAGGAGATGCACTATATGGATGACTGGTACGTCTTGGCATCCCGGCCGAATGTGTACGCGCTGATCTACTACTGTGGTTGCAATGATGCCTGCTGTGGCTACGCTGGTGCCGTACTTTACACACGAAGTCCTCGCTTTGAGGACCTTTCTACTCAGGCCTTTGCTGGCTGCGGAGTCTGCAGGGTTGATGTAGATATATTATATATATATATTTATATATTTTATATACATATATATATATATGTGTGTGTGTCTTATCGTGTCACAAAGTAATGATGTTTGTGACATGTTTTTCTCGTTTCGCAGTTTGGAATGTCAGGGATCTCTAAAGCGAGGGCTTTTTTTGGGAAGTCTTGTGGCGCATCACAGGATGTGGAAGAGATCAAAGGGGCCATCAGTGGCGCAGAGGTCCATGGTTTTGACTTTGAAGGTCTTTGTACTCCCGTGGCATCCTCCTGTGGCTCCCTCCAAAGTCGTCTTCCGAGTGTTCTTGTGTAGCACATGAGGAGGATACTTGGCTTCAAAGATAAGCCCCGCACAGAACTTTCTGATGACGCACAGAGTTTTCTGAAGGTGAAGTATTTGCAAATACTTGGCCGTCATGTATGGACTTTCCAAGTCATGGCAAGACTGAACAGATGCCATGGTGCGAAGAAAAAGATCTGCGTGACAACCCTCGAAGTCAGAGTGATGGGGTTGTTTATGAAAGCTCCAGCTGCCATCAAGTTTCAGTACGGGTTTCAGATGTTGAAAATCAAAGGGCAGGTTCTGACACAAGCACAGTGAGATTTTGGCATCCAACTCAAAGTCCCTTCTGACTGGCAGGGGGTGCTTCGGAGTCATTGACTGCAGGGGCCTTGGAAAGCAACAGTGAAGCAACAGTGTTTCACAGTGCATCGCGCAACATTGGAAGGTTTCAACATACCTGCCTGACCTGCCTCACTAGGTTCAGCAGTCATTTCCACCACCATCCGTGCTGAGTCTCCGATGGGCGCCCTGGGGTGTGTTCTTCTGACGTTTTCAATGATTATCAAGTGGGCCACCCTTTCTTCTGCTAGGTGAACAATCTCTGCTTATGCTTCATTGCGAAAAAAGAAGACAGCATAAGACAGCCACACTTCTCTGAGCGCAGGAGTTGTGATGTGGTTCGATATTGGAAGCGTCGGTAAGTCAGTGGTAAGCGCCAGAGCAAGTGTTCGCAGCGGTCGACTCGGGCCAGGCAATGCTGAAGAAACCTGCTCGAGACATGGCTCAAGACTTACCTGTTCTGTAGATCTTGGCTGGTTTTGAAGTAAGCATTGCTGGAAAAACAAGATCCAAACGTGATCTAGTGACCACAGGAGTATCAAAGAGTTGCGCTGAGGTGAGGGAGCTGCATCGAATGCGCCCGCGGCAAAAGGCCATGGAAGATGGATAGGACCAAAACCAGAGCGTTGCAATCATTATATACATATATGTAATACATAATTATATACTTATACAATTGTATACGGTATACAGTTTAATGTTTTGGATATTGAACGAAAGTTGATGCCTTTGGAGGCCAAGTTGGCGCTACCTGCAGGCCCCTCGCAAAGCGAAGCCGTCGCAGCCTGTGACAGCTGTCGTATCATTGAAATATATTGGAATCATTCCTTTCTGAAAGAAATTTCATCCAGCCGAATCCAGCCTACAAACATAAATGTCACAGGCCAAAATATCGTGCAAACGTTGGCACTGCTTGCGTTGATTGGATGCGCGACTGGTCCCCGCAAGCTTTGGCTGAGGTGGGTTGATGACGACATGAAAATAGCACCATCTTGAAGTAAAGATCAAGAACCTAATAGGTGGCAAATCTTCAAGTCACTTGAAAGCAAGCAAGAGTGCCATATAAAAAGGGTTCCACCCATCCAACTGAATGATTCAGCTGAAGTAAAGGAGCAGTTTTGTGGCTTTTGCCGTTTTTGCAGGGTGTGGCCAGATGAATTTCAAGCTTCTCGTGCCAGTGCTGCTGGCTCTTGCAGTGCCGCTGGCAGTAAAGCGAGCTCACATTCCCCAACACTTGCTTGGACATATTGCACTTCATCAAGGAAGCTAATGCAGGGAAGGGAGTAGTGGGGGCCATGACTGAATTGAGTCTTCTACTCTCTTCTTTTTACACGCCACACGGTTTCACTTGACACCGCCAGGCTTAGAAAAGGGCATTCATCCCCCAGGGAGCTAGATTGGAGGGAAGTGTGATATTGGATCAGTCAGTGATGCTCTTTTTAGCAACTTTAGTGTCACCGATTCAGAAAGAAGTGTAGTTTCTTTTACATAGAACTGTAGCAACTACTGCATATCTATATATATATGTATATATATATGGGTCATTTAATATACCTAGAATGGGCACCCCAGCAATTTTGGTGAAAACTTTTGGTGGACAAAAAAACACCACGTGTTCGTGGTTTTTCGGACCTTCCGAAGATCATTGTTTTTGAAGGTGTTAGAAAATTATCCCCCATCACAATTAGATGATTGCCATCATGATTCCAAGTTTTATATGCTTTATCCTTGAAAAGGGTGCAGTGTATGAATTTTTATCACGAGTATGAATATCATCAACATTCATTAAAAAACTATTTTCCTTGTTGGTTGATACACCTTCAATTTGCTTCACTTGCTGCACCCATCATCCCTTTCGCCGTTTTTGGGCAGCACTGTCTCCAGACGACCTGATCGATGCGGAGAGCGGCCGAAAGCTGAATGAGATCCTACGACAGATGGGAGCGGATGAGACGCTCGCGGAAATCGCATGGGAACATTTTTCAAGGGAAAAAGATGTGGATTTTGCCTCATGAAAAGCAGTTTTCCAAGGTGGATAAATTGCGTCTCGATGTTCATTTGCTGGGTAAATCTATGGAATCTATGATCAATTCTGAAGAAATATGGCCAATGGTCTAAGAATTGGTAGGGAAAACTTACAGATCGCATTTGGTTTCCATTGGATGAATCCAGTGTAATCCGGATGCCTTGTGGGAATTGACCAGGATTGGATATCCCACGAACATCGCGGCAGATTTGAAAACGGGCGTGAAAAAGGTCCAACACCGGCATGTGGGTGAAGCTAAGCCCGTGGAGGCCAGGTGAACTGAAACCTGCGAATGGAGGGCTGTTTGACTATTTGCCCGGTTACGCTGTTGGAATCTGTTACAGGCGGATGGGAGCTGCTCTCATCATCTTCTTGTCCGAGACGGGAATAGCAACTCCGTTCAAACGTGGCAAGGCTTTGCAGAGGTAAGGAAGCTGAACAGATCTGAACAGAAACTGGATGCCTTCCCAGTTCTTTCCGAAAAGAGTGTACCACTGACGCTCAGACATCATTTTTTCATCCTGGGCAGTGAGTTTTTCTTGAGGCAGTGACTGTATTCTACCACAGCGCATTGATGTTGGGAAGCACTTCATCATGACAGGAGGACCTGAAGTCCCTTGGACGCTCGTCATGGCTCATGGCTCATCATGGCTGATCATGGCTCATCATGGCTCATCATGGCTCATCATGGCTCATCATGGCTCATCATGGCTGATGGCTGGCTGATGGCTTACCATGGCTTCAAGGACCCATCCCACTGCCAGGCCATTCGTGAGCCATATGAAGATATGATTTCGCGGGTGTCTTCCTTCGGACGATACTTGTCTCTTGGCGCTAAAAAAGATCAGCCACAAAGGCGGAAAGGACAGACATGGAAGATGCCGCAGGGATGAATTCGGATCAGCCTATGCTCTAGGCTGACTTCAAATGTGTTGCTACTTCAATCCTGGTAAGCTCGCACAAAGGGAGTCTTGAGCACTTCTTGCGGCACTTTCAGTTGTCAAATGATGTCAAATGCATTATTCGATACATGTCGAAGCCGCTGCACGTTTCGATTCTGTGCCAGCCGGGATGAGGTTCGACCTGAAAGAGCTGCCCGTGGTGGAGAAGCTCTTTGAAAATCCCAAGTTTCTGCACTTTGCCAAGAGCGTGTGCCCCAAAGACAAGCAAGTTTTGGACTGAAGGGATCCATGTGCTCAGTGTTTACTGGTCGGTCTAGATGGTCTAGTCTTTGTAAGCGGACATGAAAGCATGAATTTGGAGTTTTTTTGGAAGAAGCGTTGCACTTTTGACTTGGAAAAAAAGGTTGACAGACACGCGACAGCAACATGGTTGGTGCAGATTTCACCTGCATTCTCACCTGTTCACTGGACACTGAGAATCCAAGACAAGATCCTTTTAATAATCCCCTTTACATTATACGGTGCTGAGACCAGGTACAGTAAAAGAGTTGAGTTCAACGGAGACTAGCATGACTAGCTATAGGGATTTGGAGCCCAAATTAGACTTAGTATTGCACAGTGCTGCCAAACAGTGGCCCCTTGGGGCCCCTTGGGGCCCCTTGGGGGCCTGGGAGCTTCCCCTTCCCGCGCAGGACCCGTTTCAGTTCAACTTCATCCTCTCCGTGCCTGGTCAAACAGTGGCGCTTCACCTGGATTCACCGTACTTTTTGGGTGCCACCCGCTTTCAAGTGCCACAGTGGCTGCCACCTGGATGCATCTAAGGAATCTTGGGTGATAGTTTTGCTGATCCCAGCTTATTGTTCATTCGTCATGTGGCTATGGATCAATACCTATACATACCATTTTTAGGGGAATGAACATCCATTTACCAGCTATTTTGATGTTCACCAGGGGGATAGGGTTTTGACCCATCCCCATGTCTACTCACAATTCCCTGAAAGTATTTTTGGACTATGTGGTCATGTGGCATACTGGTGTTAGCTTGTATCCTATAAACCCGCAGATGCAGACACACAGCGACTTGAGCGTCCACGGAAACACATTGTTGAGACAGCAGCTTTCACAGCTATGACCCTTTCTATTCATCATGGTTACAGACCGAATTTACATAGATGAACTCAATTTCACCATCGGAATTTTGCTTTGAGCCCCAACAGATTTTTCCATTTTTTTCCACCTGCCATTGCTGAGTCCATAGCCACACCTTTGGCACAAACTGTACTAACAAGACTGAGGGTAGTAGTCAGGCTGCACCTCATCCTATTCAAACATATTGTGCCTACAGGGGGAAAAAAGGCCGCCAAAAACCTGGCAGGTTGGCGGTCATGGTCTTTAGCGGCCTCTTCCAAGATCGCTTCATCGACCAGGTGCAGGTGGTGGGTTATTTGCACGATCAAATGGCCGTGGAAGACCGAAGCTCAGGAGGCTGGATTGAGATACTGAGTTGTGGCTAAAGGGCCTGAAGGGTGCAATCCCAGGCAGACATGTTTGATATTTTCCTGGATCACTCTACTGCCTTCCATATTTCCAGGAATCCAAACCACCTACCCAGACCACCTGTTATCAGTTGATTGAAACATTAATTTCTTGGGCTAGTCAGCTCCAATGTTTCTTCTAAGTTGGGAGAACCACAGATGCTGCTGGAAACGACTCTTTCTCTACTATGATGAGAACTCGGCCACGCCCAAGAGCTTTCCCTCCAGCCCACTCTCTGGGATCTCAGCCCTTTGGATTGTGATCCCTCACGACTCACCAGGTTTGGGCAAAGTGTCAACATCCTTCAGAGACCCTCAGCAATCTTAGGGCGAAGAGGTAGATGAGGTATGATGAGGTAGGCTTGTCTTCAGCAAGCATCAGAAAACTCCGAGGTAGATGGAAGCAAAACTCTGCATGCTGCAGGGGTGTTCAAGCCTGAAGTCAAGACACCCTTCCTCGACAAGGACACTGAGAGCAAATGAGGTCACGACGGTCACGAGCTGTTCAGTGGTCACAGAGTGCTGAAAGAGTCCGAGAAGTCTTCACTGTGTAGTTATTGTAGCTCGCTGTGACAGGCAGCCGAGTCATGTGTCAAATGCTTCTTCCAATTTAGACATGATGCAGTCTTCGCCGTTCATTCCAGGACAAAGACAATGCCTTGTTCTACGTCCCTGGCTCGGCTGGACGTGATGCTTGTTGCAGGAGGCACCTGCTAAGTTTGCCGGTCTCAGGCTGGTGATGAACGGTGGGAACTTCGAAGCGAGGGAGAGGCTGGTTTGGAACCGGCAGGTGGCTCGTATGGCTGCCAACAGGAGTCCTTGTGGCCACATGCCTCCTGCTGCTGGTGCTTACAATCAGGACCATGAACATCTATGAACCATTGTCAAGAACAGTTTCGGGTTATTTGTTACATAGGCATGGAAAATCGCCATTTCTAATAGGTAAACCATCTATTTTCATGGGCCATGGCTTCCATGGCAAACTGTTAGTCATAACCAGAGGGTACGATCATCGCATCTCTCTAATGTTCAGCGGTGCCACCAACGGCGATGTTCCGATGTCTTCCAGTGCCATGGCTTTTCAGGTGGTCCAACGCTACAACTCCTCTGAGCTGAGGATGACCATCGTTTACAGGCCTGACTCCCTAGATGTTGAACTTTATGGATTGCATTGAGAAGTCCAAGAGATTCACGTTGAAAGAGAACGACAGATGGCCAGTATCTTATTGCTCCACAAGTTCCACGTTTGTGGCCAGTTTGGCAGTTTGGGTTGATCCATGACGGTACCACAGCGTCACATCTCGTGGCATGGCTTTCTGGATTGGATTCATCACCAGATGATACCAGTGCTGCCAGGGCGCGCTGCTTTGCCTCCGAGAAGGCTGGCGCTACTCTTTGGAGTCAAGCTGCAAGATTTGCAAATTTGTAAGATCTGCAAGCCGAAAAAAAGTCAGCCATCAATTGAAGCCTGTGAAGTGTTCGATGCGAATCATTCCAGAAAGCGCCAGAAGCAGTGGAAATTTCACCGGTTCTTGCGGTGAATTTCTATGATTTCCGTTGGGAAACAGATTGAATCCTCGATCAATCCATGAACATCCACTGTTTGAAGGAGAGGCAGAGGTATCTCAAGCAGGCGCCCGAAGACATGCTCAGAGCTTTAGCTGCATTTTGACCAGTCTGGTGTCATGCTTTTTGGTCTGAAAGTTTCATGACTTTCGGGATTCCAATTTGGAGGGTATATTTTTTTAGGTTTTTTCTTTTGTTTTTTTTAGGTTTTTTTTTTGTTTTTCAGTCTGGAGCAGCTTTCCCTGCTATTTGCTGCTCTTTGGAGCTAAAATCTGTGTTTTGCATGCATTTTGGAGCTAGGATCTCTCATTTGCGCGCCCACTTGGCTTTTGGCTTCAAGTGCCCACTTGGCTTTTTGGCTTTTGGCTTTTTGGCTTTTGGCTTTTGGCTTTGCTCGGGCTTTCTTTTGGCTTTTAGCTTTTGGCTTCACTTTGGCTCTTGGCTTTTGGTTATTGGCTTTTGGTTATTGGCTTTTGGCTTTTTGGCGTTTTGGCGTTTAGCTTTTTTGGGCCATGGCTTTTGGCTTTGGCTTCACTTTGGCTGTTGGCTTTGGGCTTTGGCTTCACTTGGCTTCTGGCTTTTGGCTTTCTGTGGCCCCTTATCTCCTCGATAAGTCAAGAAAAGACATAATCTGGCTTTTGGCTTTTTGGCTTCACTTGGCTTTTGGCTTTGGCTTCACCTGGCTTTTGGCGTTTGGTTTTAGCTTCACTTGGTTCTTGGCTATATTGTTTGAACTACTCCATGTTACGGGAAAGAAGGGAAATAAGACTCTTATTTCCCTTAATATACGTAAAGAAAAGATACATGGCATAATGATAGTTGAACTACGTATTCCATGCTTCGGGAAATGAACGCAGGAAAATAAGACCTTTTGGCTTCGGCTTCACTTGGCTCTTGGCTTTGGCTTCACCTGGCTTTTGGCTTTTGGCTTACATACGTAAACCCTAAATAAACCCTAAACCAAACCCTGCATATATATATATATATATATTAAATACACGTGTAAACGCACTGATCTACATATACATATAGTCATGATTAGTCATGCATATATACCTTCCTACATCTACAATTTGTAGTTTGCACATCGTGAAAACTTCGGAAAAACCATGAAAACCATGTGCCTTATCTGTATTCCACATGTTTCCAGGGTGCATGTCGTGTAGTCTATACACCTTGAGTATCACATTCAACCCAGCACCTTGCATGTGAAAATAGGTGTTTCCAATCTGCTTTGGGGGGGAGGCGCTGCGCCCTCCCCCCAAATCCCCCCCCCTCCCGCTTTTTTTAATTATTTAAATTCAAAACTTGCACACTTTTCAATGCACTAGTTTCATTCGAGTATATTTATATTTATGTTTAAATTTTTATATATACATATATATATACATATTTACAATACATACATATATATATATATATGTATATATATATATATATATATTATATGTATATGTATATATATATATAGTATGTATATATATATATACAATATTTGTACACGTATATTTATATATACATATATATATACATATTTACAATACATACATATATATATATATATGTATATATATATAAGTATGTATCTATAAGTATATATAAAAATACACATGCATATTTACTTTTAGATATACTGACATATATATATATATATGACATATTTGTGGTTGTTTTTATACACAGCTTTGATCCCAAAATATACTATAAATAATCACCTAATTATAGCTATTTGTATGTACATGTTGTATCCCTAAATACCCCCTAACCCAACCCTAAATAGATCCTAAACAAATCCAGAAGAAACCATTAAGCCAACCCTAAATAAACCCTAAACCAAACCCTGCATATATATATATATATTAAATACACGTGTAAACGCACTGATCTACATATACATATAGTCATGATTAGTCATGCATATATGCCGTTCTACATCTACAATTTGTAGTTTGCACATCGTGTATTTCCAAAAATAAATGAAAACTTCAATAAAAAACAATGAACACCATGTAAAAATCAATGAAAAACTCTGGAACCAGAAATGAAAACAAGTGAAAACTGAATGAACACCATGCACAAATTGAAGAAAACCATAGAAAAAACCATTGAAAAATGGAAGAACACCATGGAATATCGAAGAAACCATAGAACAATTGAAGAAAACCATAGAAAAATTGAAGAAAACCATGGAACAATTGAAGAAAACTCGATAGAAACCATTGGAAAAAAAACTGAAACCAGTCGAAAAATTGATGAACAGTGCGAATGAGAGATTTTAGCTACAAAATGCAGCAAATGAGTGATTTTAGTTGCAAAAACCAAGGAAGGGAGCCTGGACGACCAAAAAAAAATACACACACACACAAAAAAAAAAATGCGCACCCATTGATAAGTGTCCTAACTAGCCCTTTTAAGGGAAAAAAAACGCATGTCAGGACACTTGTTGAATCTGGACTCCAACTATATTCATGTCATTTGGGTTGAACAATTGTTGCAAGAAACTCAGACGTTTACTCGTGGGTTTCTATGCATGCTTGCGCGAGAGGAACTAAAACTCTTTTCAACAAGTGTCCGGACTAGCCCTTTTCCATCATTGAAAACCCTTGTTTCAGGACACTTGTTGGATCTGGTGTGTATTGGCTTCTGGTGGTTGTGGCTTCGCTTGGCTTTTGGCTTTTGGCTTCGGTTTCACTTGGTTTTTGGCCTTGGCCGTTTTGGCTTTTATGCAGATATCTAATGGAAAATGAAGGAAAACTAAGGGAAAATGAAGGAACACTAACGGAAAATGAAAGAAACCAATTGGAAAATAAAGAAAAACTGATAGAAAATGAAGGAAAACTAACGGAAAATGGAACATGAAAGAAAACCAATGGAAAACTAATGGAACAACTATTGGAAAATGAAGGAAAACTAATGGGAAAAGTAATGGAAAATGGAGGGAAACTAATGGAAAATGAAGGAAAACTATTGGAAAATGAAGGAAACGTAATGGAAAATGAAGGGAAACTAATAGAAAATGAATGCAAACTAGTAGAAAATGAAGGAAAACTAATAGAAAATGAAGGAAAACTATTAAAAAATGAAGGAAAACTAATGGAAAATGGAAGAAAACTAATAGGAAACAAAAAAAAATCCTAAAAAAAACAAAAACAATTCCTAAAAAAAATCTTCGCCCTTCCAATTTTCTGATTTCCATTGATAAGATCGATAAGATCAGCTGAAGATCAGTGAGAGATATTTGGAATTGTTGTTGACTGCGAGAGCTGAGGTTTAGAAGGCATTTTGGAGACTCTCACGAATGATTTGGTTGCACGGCGGAAGCTCTCCAGGCTTGACAGTGGGCGTCACTGTTGAGTCGTGCGGACTACATTTGAAATTATTTGGATGTGTTGAAGGAGGGTACAGTATCCATCGGTATCCTATTCCTTAGACCCGTATACTTCATTTGTGAACAGGGGGAATGAGGAGACTTCAGCCCTATTGGCACTTTCCCAAGGGAGCAAGCGACCAGCATTCATCGTTTGGATTTGGCGGTGATGCTCTTGGACACCTACATTAAGTGGCTTGGCCTCCAAGTGTTGCAAAATTGGTTGAGCTGTTAAAGGCTTGAGAGATCTGGAATACTCAAGTCCATAAGACCTAACTTGTGGCTGCACTTTTTGAATGTGACCATTTTCATATGTAATCAGCTTTTCCATAATTATACTTATAAATATGGCTTACATATAGCATATATATATATATAATTATATATATACTGATATTTGGAAAAGCTTACCTTTATTTCTTTGTGTGACTGAAAAGCGGCGCCCCATTGCCCCATGGTCGCTGTGTCTTTAAAAAACCTGAAGAGGCCACCGAACTAGCGCTGCAAACATCTCCAATATCTACCCGGCCTGGTAAACTAATACAAAAAGCGAACTGGAAAATGGCCATAGATTTATAGTGAGTTTTCCCATTAATAGCATGCTGATTAATGGATGATTAATCTGGTAAACTAAGATAGCTATGGAAAATGGCCATAGAAATAGTGAGTTTTCCCAGCTACATAGCATGGTGGATCTTTCCATAGTTTTTTGTCAACGTTTACCAGAGGGTATGATCTTCTAAGAGCTTCCTTAAGATTCTGCTGTCAGGTATCCACTGCCTGACCTTCAACATGCCATGGTACCTTTGAACTACTGTGCGCTTCCCCGACGAGCTGGCAGATTTCATGAACCCCTGAGCCGGATTCTGAGCCCGTTCTGCCGACGTTAGGAAACTCTGAAGAAAGTCGTTCTGGTCCCAGTTTCGGGGGTTCCGAAGGACCCAACCAGTTGTTGCCCGAATTGATGGAAGGGTCCAGAACAAAAGCTGGGAATACCTTTGGGTTATGTTGATGTTTCACACCCTTGTGACCCTTGCCCTCTGGTAATGGTCAGTTGGACCAGCCACAAGGGTCGCTTTGGTTCTTTTAACCTCTGAATTTTGTTATGCTGCTTGGAAGAGGCATGAAGAAGTCTTTTGAGACTCCTTTGGCGAGGAAAATCTGGGTCCTTGATGGCGGCCTGCTTCAAAGCCTGGTGCCGGCGGATACCCGGATACCCTTCGAGATTATCCCTTCAGACTGATGCAGAACCTTCGAAAATGTCTGTGCCAGATCCTTGTTGACATGCAAGGAAAAGATGGAAAAGTCAAAGCTTTGCTTCACATTCAAACATTGAAACATATTGAAACAGTATCCCGTCTTTGACTATGTGCTGTGCCAAACCTGAACCGATCGCAGACCCTGTGAAGCCGCCACCTGGGCTGCTGAGTTTTAAGCAGTGGTGGGGGAGACTCAGTGTCCAAAGCAAGCTATGGTGGGCTGCTGTTTTTTCAAGACCTCAAGCAACAGTCCTCCACGATGCGTCGCATGCGCTGATCTTGCACGGTTCCACTGAAAGCTGTTTCCAAGGCTAGAAGGTCCTCAGGGTCATGCCGTGGTAGCCAAATACCGTGGAGTTCCCGGTAGAAGCCTTGGCTGGATGTTTCCTACCCGTTTTGATTCTAACATGGAGCACCGGACTTTGCTTGTGTCCTCTGCATCTCATTCAACACAAGAATGAAGTAGCAAAAGTATATCAAAGGTATATATATATATATATTATGGTCTTCTTCGACTTTTTGGTTTTACGATAAAGCAAGAGTAAGATCCTAGCTTCCTAAGCAATGAGAGCATGCTCTTTTGTGAATACCAGTTGCTCACTATTTCCAAAGCACCGATGCTGGCCTGTTCTGTCCAAGAATGGTGCGCACTTGTCGAGCGGTTCATGTTCCAGTATGAACAAATCGGCCTACCTTTTTTGAAGGTCAGCCGCAACTAACGAAAATTGCAGACAAGCATTTTTTTTGCTGCCCAGGTTAGACCCTTTTGGTGTGGCCGGCCGGTAGAGTCAGCACCACCACGAGCGAAAGCTGCAGCAGTTTTTAGGGAATCCAAGCAATCCAAAGAATCCACAGCTTTCAAATCAGTATAGTGTATATATATATATCAGTATACATAAGTATATATCAGTATATATTAATATATTAATATATATATATATATATCAGTATATAATAATATATATATATATATATATACTGGTTGGTGGTTTGGAACATGAACTTTAAAACTGTATTTTCCCCAATAGTTGGGATGATGATCCAATCTGACGAACTCATATTTTTCAGGGGGGTTGAAACCACCAACCAATATATATTTATATATATATATGTATATATATAATACTATATCATATGGATAGATATGGATCGGATGGTACCAGTAGTACTGCCCGTAGCTAAAAGAGCACGTGGGCTTAAAGCAGATGGGCTCCATGTGCTCGACAAGGTCTCGGAGCCTTCAAAACGTGGCCACAGCAGTGGCAGCCATCCTGTTTGGACGGCTTGGCCACTGCCCTGACCAGGAATTCTCGCTCGTTTAAAGCAGCAATATCTCAGCCATCCTGGCTATCCTGGCTATCCTTTCCTCTGAGATTTCATTCAAGATGATTTGCATTGAAGTTATATTTGCTGCAGAGATTGAAGCCTGGATCTCTAGCCACAAAAGGTTCACCCTCTGTTTGAAGACCAGGCAGAGACAGTCAGAGCTGTGAAATTTGGCAGCCATGGTTTGAGGAACTCCTCATTTGACTGGCAGATTCCGGAACAAAAAGTGGCATTCTTTTCAGGATCGTGTTTGTTGCAACAGCGCACTTAAATTTGTTTGGAAATTGGGTATCCGCCAAGATGGCAATGACATTTGAAGAAATTGATCATCAACCATCAATTTTTCAGGTGCCTTATTTTCAGACAGAGCCACTTGTCAATTCCTACCACTCAAGAGTCATCAGCTGCAACCCCAAAATGCTGCGGTCAAAGCCGTGGGCTTGAGAGCTTCAGCTTAGCCACATGCACGAGACATGGTGAGGGCTTGAACTTCTTGCGTACCTTGAGATCTTAATTTCCCAGCAACTTGGTCACTTTATTTTTATCTTATTGGTGAATTGAAGACGATGAAGAACATGATGAAACATTGACGTTACTGTGTGTCTAAAGCGTCATCGCAGCTGAATCGCCTACTGCATTTGAGAATTTCATCTCGAAGGCAAAGAGTTAAAAAGTCAACCAGACACTTCAACTTTACAAAATCTGCTAAATGCACAGCCATGCCGATCGACTATTCAAAGTTTGACAATATTGGCGATTCAGATGAAGAGCCAGCGGCTCAGCGAATGCGAAACACATCCAACTTTGTAGACCCGGTACAAAACGATTTCCGAAGTCTGGACCAGTTGTCCCACAGGCCGCAACCCTCGGGTGTTGCTGGAGTCGGAGCGGCAAACAGAATTGGGAGGTGGGGAAATCTGAGCGGAACTTTGCAGCTTGAGTTATTTGTGTCGTTTTTGTTTCTCCTGAAAACAAGTATTTCTCATGAAAATGGCCATTGAAACTATAGAAAATCACCATTTGCAGACAGACCCAGGAAATTTTGCAGTCTGAGCATCAAAAAAACACAAAAAGTCACAGGAATGGAAGAGAAGTGCTCGAAGCGGGAGGCCATGCCGCTGCAGACATAGTTGTCAGACATACCCTCTGGTTATGACTAACAGTTTGCCATGGAAGCCATGGCCCATAGAAATAGATCGTTTACCTATTAAACATGGTGATTTTCCATGGCTATGTTAAATAACCAGATGCTAGTTGACATAGTAAGCTTGTGAATTTGACATTGATGTTTTCTGGACACCGTATTTCCAGCTGCGGAATCGTTGATGGTTTCCAGATGGTTTTCAGATGGTTTCCGGATGGTTTCTGGATGCCAAATATTTGCTGTATAGATGATGATAGATCCAGGGTTCCTGGCGAGTTTCTGGGTGGCGGCTGGGAGCATCGAATCTCTCACGTAGGCCTCGAAGAGAAGTTCACGATGCTTCCAGGATCCGTTGATCTGCAGCTGTTAGAATCTCTTCGAATCCATTGGAATCCAGGTATCAAAAATCCACATGTCTGGTGATTTCGATGGTGAAATCATCATCTTATCATTATACCCATTGGACATGATGGGAGATGATGAACCCGAGAATTTTCTGAAGGAAACCACGCTCCGGGAGCCGGCTATCCGGGCCATCCGGGCCATCGGGACTCGTAGCGGTCTTGAAATGGAGCAGATGTTCATTGATGGGTGCTGCAATTCTTACCATCCTTTATTAAACTTTCTGAAACCTTGATTGTTGATTCGAGATACCTGGAGTTTTGAGAAATAAAAGATCCATCCCGAATCTGTTCATTTTGATTCGGATTTGAGGCCTGAGATGACAGCGCTGGCAGCTGAGCTGGAGCGATTGGCAGGGCCGGGTGCTTGGGAAGAGCAGCAAATAGAGATGCCATAGCAGGCTTCATGCCAGTTGGAGAGTCAAAGGATTCACATGTGATGGGATATGGCGGATATGGGTGTTTCAAACGGTCAAAAGTAGAGAGGTTGTGGATGGTTGTACCCAGAGATTTGGTCATTGGAGCGTTGCCACAGTATTGCAACATTTCGAACATTTTAGTACCCCAGACAGCACAGGACCTTTAGCCACTGTGACAGCGTTGACAGGCCTGGCGGCCCTGGCGGCAAAGGTATGGCTACGCAGGACGCATTCCATGCGCAAAGTGATTGTGCCCAGTGTCCCATAGCGCCTCAGAGCCATCCAGAGCCATCCAGAGCCAGGAGCCGCCCAAGCCAGGAGAACCGCAGCGGGTTTGCATGAAGTCAGAGCCCTCGAAGCCGAGTGCATGGAGCGCTGGTCACCGTCAACGAATTCCTGGGCTCTACCTATCTGCTTTCTTGGCTGTGGCTTCCCAAGGTCCGATGGCAGGAAGAAGATCCATACAACCTTTCCAGCCCGCGACTCGAGGGGTATGCAAGAAGAGATTGATTCGATGAAGCAAAGCTCGGTTTGATACTGATTGTGGATACTGATCGATTCAACATAGTCTAACTTAGCTATGAGCAAACGTCCCATTTATAGATGAATTGCCATCAGTAACGCTGTTTTGTCAGAGCTGCCATAGCTATGTAAAATGGGTAATGACCAGAGCGACTCTCATTTACATCACCCGGGTCAGTGCATCCAGGATGGTGGGGAGATGGTGGAGGAGTACGACGACAAGACGGATGTCTTGATGGTCAGAAAGTCTTGGACTTATGTTGAATATTGTTGAATCAAGCCACGATATATCAGGAGATATCACGAGATATCACCATATCATAGCATTACAGCGTTGCCTCAGACAGACCTCCTTCTGTGGAGTTCATTTTCGAAAGAAAAGCACACCTTGGATCGGACCTGTAAGTATGTGTCTTATTTAGAGTGTTGCTGTGGCTGTATGCCTAAAGCCGAAAGTCAGTAAAAGTCAGTAAAAGTCAGTAAATTAGACGTCATCAAACATCCTTAATCAAAAGTCGTTCAACGTCATTGAAAGTCGTTCTGGATGTCGTCTCGAGAAGTCGGTTCCTATTTTATGGCTCTTTGCAGCATTCGAGGGTGCGAAAACCAACGAAGGTGGGAAAGGCTGGGACCTTTGGGCCTTCGGGCCATCGGGCCATCGGGCCATCCCATTTTCCCAGCCTGCGCCAGGAAGGCGATTGGGTATTCGAAGTTGGACAGGCTGGGGCTGAAAAGAGCCTTTCCAGTCTCTTGAAATCGTGGTTAGACCACCATTATGATGCCCACAGAGGATACAGAGGGAGCAGGAAGTGCCATAAGGATCCATAAGGACTTTTGGTGCTTCCATCTTCCTCCTTTTTGTCTTGCAAAATCTCACTTTTTCGCAGATTATACAGTAATTATACAAGTCAAGTCTGCCACTCATGACACTCATGCTTGCGTGTCCGGAAAGTTTCATGGATGCTCTCAAGAGCCGATGCCCAATGAACTTGCCCAATGCACAAGGGCACGCCACCATTGAGATTTCTAAAATGTGCTCGGACACAGGATTTCTCTTCGAAACTGGATGGCTGTAGATGTCCACATATTCCATGTAATGACTCACAAATGTTCAACAGCTGATCAATGCTGTTCAAATTCCTTTGCTCAGGTTCCATCTCTCATTCGAGCGTGCATTTTTTTCTATTTTTTATCGCGCACTTTTTGTTTTCGCCTCCCAATGCCAGCCCTTTGTTCTTCTTGTTCGTGTCCGTGTATACGGTATCCTGGTATCGTACCCCTCTTGTGTGCACCGCCGGTAGGCAACAGAAGCTGCATTTGACCCATACTCGGACGTCATGCGCGCTTCGACGAGAAGAACTCAGACTGGAAATGAAGACAATGAAATGTTACCCTCTGGTTATGACTAACATAGCCGCCATAGCCATGGTATAGATGGCCCATAGAAAAAGTTTACCTATTAATAGCATGGTGATTTTCCATGGCTATGTTAAATAACCAGATGGTAATAAAAAGCCATTGCTGAAAACGTTAAACGTACCCCAACTTTTAATTTTAAGGCCAAAAGCAGATACTGTATTTGTTTTGGTTTTCCCGCTGCTCAGGAGCAATCCAATTTTCCTGCGAAAGGATACGCGTGACCCTTACTGCCCTTAAGTTCTTTTCTTTCGCTGGGTTTTTAAACGATGGCATCCAATGCTTTAGATTTTTGCACCTGAGGCCAGAACATTTTCAGTGGCGAATCCGAAATCTCCCATATCCAGCTGACGTGTACAGTGTGTTGGTCTTTGACTCAAGCGTGATTTTTTCGCATTGCTGTCACCGCTTTGATGCGCAATGGATTTTTCAATGGATAGCAATGGATAGCGAGGTGGATCATGAGAAACAGGAGATTGTCGTGAAAACATCCAACAAGAAGTACTACAAGAGGATTGGAATTCTGGTGATCTTGGTGCTTAAAGAGGCTTCGATAAGGGAAGTATCTTTGGTGAAGATATGACTGACACTTGAATAGCAGCCACTGTTTGTTGCTCCTGCGCTTAGAATTTCCCTTTAGCTGGAGGATTCAAGTCCCAGACTTGTTGCGCTATGACTTGAAGTTCCAGGACTGACTGTTTTGCTGGGTGCCACGCGTGCCATTAGTACTGCCGCTACATGTTGCTACATGTTGCTACATGTTGCTACATGTTGCTACATGTTGCTACATGTTGCTACTACTGGTGCTACTGGTGATGTGGTTTTCAGATTGCATAGTAGCTGAAAATCCGCTGATGGCTTGGGAGTGCCCTGTACCGGTAGACTCAGTACACTCAGCAGACTGAAAGGATGAACTCCTCTCCTGGAAGCACCAGTGGCTGGGACAAAACTCTGTACGTCGCATGTGGACGAGCCATGTGGACGAACTAGCTTGGGATGAGTTTTCTAGGGAATTTCGAGGCTTTGCCAAGGCTTGGATATGATACATAAGGCAGCAAGATCTGGACTCTAGGATTTCATAAGCTTTCTATGGACCGGTTGCTTGCTGATGCCCCGCCTCCCAGCTGTGTGAAAGCGCTGGAGGCATAGCACCCTCATCATTTCGTACAGAAAGCCTGGAGACCCAAGCACCAGTCCAGACATGTCCAGACAAGATTCAAATCGTACTGAGCAGCACAAGGAAGTGACACCATGTGACACCCAAAACAAAACCTACGTAGTCGTTATGTCTCGTTTTGTTGTCATCAAACTGTGCTACTTGTAGACAGATTCCTTGCCACCAGAATAGCTGTAGCCCTTGGGCTTGTAGACCCTCTCTCTCTTGTGCTGGAATCAGTATGACCAGCCTTGTTCAAATGAAATGTCAAGTCGTCGGGTTCCATGTTGAGGACGTCACATGTAAAGCCCGAAGGCCTCCAAAGATCGTGGCGGGTGAACAGGAAGCCCTTCGTGATGCAGAAAAGTTCCTCATCCCAGCAAAATTGAGAAGAGACTACCGACAAGCTGAGCTGGTGCACATTTTTAGCCACGAACTCATTCAAGACTAACTTCGGGATAGGGAACATTTCTTACAGAAAATTAAGCTCAAAGCATTTTATTCTGCTTGCTTTGCCGATTGGCAAGTTTTTCTTCGGCAAAAAACATATAGCCGTGCTTCACTGACTGACACTGACAAGTCAGCCCGCCAGATGAGGTCTGCAATGAAGATGTGATTCGGCACTGAGACTATATATTGCATGACAAACAAAACATGGTTCACACAAAGCGGCTGAATGCGGCTGGTTTGTCAGCAAATTGTTGGGCAACTTATCATGATTCAGAGGCATTTATAATATTTTTATAATTATAATCAATCCAATGCTGCGCTGACAACTTTCCTACTGAAGAAGCTGTTGTTGATTTGGGGATGGGTCAAAACCCTGGTACCTAGTGAACCCCAAAATAGCTGGTAAATGGATGTTCATCCCACTAAAAATGTATCTATAGGTATTGATCCATACCCATTTGAGCTGCTCCAAGAATTCAACCGGATGCACATAAGCCTGCACGATTCCAACATATCCCGCTCCGACAGCTCCCTGCAACGAGTGAAGCAGGTGCAGAAAAGGAAAAGGAGGACAAAACGACAAAACCAACCAGGATCTCTTTTTATTGTGCATTTGAGATCGTTTGATCTAAGGGTTTTTTGGATGTTTTGGATCAATTTAACAAATCTGAATCACTCTGATACTGGTACTGGAATACAGTTTTTGGGGCAAAGAACATCCAAAACGACCTGCGATTTTCCTGGCTCAAGGGCTTGGCCTTGACAGAAACATCAGCCTCTGTGTCTTTTCAGCAATGGATGGATTTCTTGTGAAGATGTATCATGATGTTTATCAAAACATAGGGTTTGTATGGGATCTGTCAGAATGTCATTTGCAAACCAACCTTTCCAACCTTTCAAACTTGTCGATCTGTCTGAGAGATTCCACTGCGACCAGTTTGCAGCCGTTTTCCTTGATCATGGCTGCACTAAAGCTTCTCCTTTGTGGATTCCTCAGTGATAGTTGTGATTGACATATGCTCACATCCACCTCTTTCTCAAAGTGGACACCCTTAGAACTTAGAACTCGTTGTGGCATGGATTTGACACGGAGTGCATGTCGAAGGATTTGTGATGTTTTGTGGGACTTCTCTTCTCTTCTTGTGGCCCGCAGTCAGAAGCTCAAGCAAACGGGCAGCACCATGTGGGCCTGCTGCTGCGCAGCAGATGCCACAGAGGATGCCGTAGTGACTGCGAGAGCGAAGCCTTCTGATGCGAGAGACGAGAATGTGGAGACTAAGATTCAGCCAACCATTGAAGTGATTCCACCTGGTGAGGTCCATGGACTGCCAAAGTCTGCAGCCTTTGGATCCTTTCAGGTGCAGGTATTTACTGAAGGCTTCTCCACCTTGGGTTTGGAGCTGGACTTGACAGATCCCACTACACCCATGATCTCCGACATCCGTGAAGGGGCCATTCAGAAGTTCAACCAGGTCTTTGAAGCTTCAAGCTTGAGACCCTACGATGCTTTAGTGACACTGGATGAAGCCAGGAAGTGGGAAGAGATTGAGAAGAAGATGAATGGATTGAATGGGCAGCTGCCAGAGAAGATGACTCTGGGCGTGAAGCGACCCAGAAAGGTTCAGGTGATCTTCGAAAAGACAGGTCCAATGGGGATGAAGTTGGATTACAAGAACCATTCCGTCGGAGCTGTTTTGACAGACCTAGACCCCTCTGGCTTGCTGGCCACATGGAATTCCAAAAATGTCAGTGATGCTATAGGCCCTGGAGACCGCATCGTAGAGTTTGATGGACAGACATATTCGGGCGGTGAGCTCATGGAACAAATGAAAACACAGAGCACGATGAAACTTACCGTCTTGAAGTACTGAGAGCGGAGAAAGGTCCACAGGTTGTGAGTATCTCATAGCCGCAGTGGCGCTTATTGCTGCAAAGAGATTCGAGAGAACTTCCAATGTGAATGTCTTTCGTTGTTCTCATGCCATTCCAGAGGAATCATGAGTTATACATCCTTTCTGCCAAATTCTTAGGTGAAAAAACTTTGCTTCACCAGCAAGAGTTAGGGAAACAAAGGGATTTGCGCTTGTTGGTTTTGAGTTTGTGTCCAGATTTTCTGCTGACCTGGGTTGGTAGCACAGTGGCAGTTCCAGTGAGGTTCCAGTGAGGTTCGCATTTTTACGGTCAACTTGCAGGAAAAGATGTAAAAGATTGTAAACGGTTCTTTCGAGATTCTAGAAGATTGCAGAAGGTGGCGAAGTTTTCAAAGCTTTAACTGTTTTAACCCCTCACAAAGCTCTGGAGCTTTCTCAGTTTGTCAGCACCCAGGTGTAGCAGGCATTTGGAGTTGCTTCTTTGCCTATGGCATTCTCCAGGACATTGCATTAGACTCATTGGACTGATTTCTGTCAGAGACTTGGATCCCAGAAGGTTGACTCCTGATGGTACACTAACATGAGTTTGATTTGATTAGCCTCTTTACAGAGATTCACAGAGTATGAGGTATTCCCAGTACCTTTGACAGGAGAGCATTTTTGTATACAAGACGCCAACGGGTGACAAGTCAGAAGCTCAGACACTTCTCCTCACTCCTGGCAAAGAGAATTTGCGCACTGGATTTTCTGTTGAACAATCGGCCAGCATCGGCCAGCACCCAACCGTGAGGTTCAAGCAGACCACCATGCTCCTGATTGTCGAGCACACAGTGCCTCCGACTTAGCTGGGTCGTGGCCGTCATGGCCACCTCGCTGCAAGGGCTGGATCTCAGGTCTGCTCTCGTCGCTTTGGTGATCATGCAGTTCTTCACAGGAACAAGTAGCAACTGGCTGGGGCCCTGGTATATTTCAGGTTTGTTGCAGTGGACATGCGTGGACATGTATGATTGAATTATTACAATAACTCTGAAGATCATGGATGCTTCAGACCTTACTTCAGTGTAATTCTACAATCATGATTAATTCATATTAATTCATGGTATCTATTTGCTGGGGATTGAGTGCCCCAATGTCTAACATCAGGCTATGCCAATCCCAGGAGACAACACCTGAAGTCCCAGGGCATTGTAGCCTGCCGGGGCGCCGAGTTTTCGCTGGTTCAGCTTGAGATCTCAGCAGGCACAGACTCTTAGCCCCTGCCATATTCTTACTGGTGCATACTGGCGCGTTTTACGCAGGGAATTTTCGGGAATGATCCCAGTCATCACTATCAATAATAATCCCAGCAACCCCCAGCAACCCATCCATTCCGTACGTTTAGCACCAGTAAGTATTTAGAATGTGCTTGAATTTCTGACACTTCTATGGGTTTTTGGACATTTGCCGACATTTCAGCCCAGAGCCTCAGGCAGATTGTAAGATGGTGGATTTGCGAAGTAGAAACAGTGAGACTTTTGGACTTGCAACAGATGTTAAGAATTCTCCCAAAAAGTGCAACACTGCTGTTCATTGCACCCCCACAACTCCCACAATTTCAGTCACTTCAATCACCCTTGCATTTGGGTTTGTCTGAAAATAGTGTACCCCTAAACCCAATGGTTAATGATCATTATCCCTAGTAAATGGCTATAATTGGGGGTATACCCCATTTTCAGACATACCCATTTATGCCTCATTCGTGCCCCACTCGTGCCCCACTTGTGCCGGCGCTTGAACCCGGCCAATGTCTGCCGAGTTCATCAGCCAGCTGCGTCGATATGCACAGGATGCGGTGCATTCCGTGAGGGCTGAGCTGGTGGAAAGTTTGGCGCAACATACCGGGAACTTTGCCAATGGACCACTGGTATTAGATGTGGCCTTACCAGGGGCTGCCTATTTTTCGGTGGCAGCTGGTGGCCTTGCGGATGTCTTGCATTTCATGGGAGACCATGTACATGTGGATCGATTTATAGGAGCCAGTGGTGGGGCTTGTAGTCTCTTTCTGATCCTGGCAAATGAGAGATCTCAGAGATCTATGTCTGGTACAGGGCCTTGCCCTGATGCAGAAGAGCTCCTTCGCTCGTATCTGATGTATGGAGAATCAGAGGGTACAGGCAACTGGCAAAGATCGTGGAATGCATGTCGACAAGTGTTCAGCGGAGTGTCGAACTTTTGGGAGAAGAGATACGAAGAACTTCTGCAAGATGAAAGGGCATGGACTGCAGTTCGGCATCGTGCCTTTTGTGCTGTTTCAGCACGGCCCATCCGGCAGAACCTGTTTGGCGCTCCAAGCGAGTCGGAGAGTCTCTTCCATTGCAAGACGGACAACTACATCATGCATTCCTTTTCGAACCGCCATGAGGCCGTTCAGTCTTTTGTGGCCACCGGTGAAGCTACCATCAAGGGATTTGTGGCTTGCCATTGGTATGGCACACACTTCCTTCCGTTGGAATCATGTGGTAGCTGCAATCACTATCATTGAGCTTTTGTGCTACAGAACTTTGATGCTGTCAAATGCCCGATTTATTCCATGATAGGCAAACATATAATGATATATTATGTATATTTATATTTATATAATAATATAATATAATATAAATATATATAATGAATATATATATATAATACTATAGTATATAGATATTACTATATATATAACATCATATGATATAGTAAAATATAATAAAATACAATATAATATAATACACTATAATATAATATAATATAATATAATACTATATATAATATAATATAATATGATATAATATAATATAATATAATATGATATAATATAATATGATATAATATAATATATAATTATAATATAATATAATATAATATATATTATAATAATATATAATATAATATAATATAATGTAATGTAATGTAATATAAATAAAATAAAATAAAATAAAACAATATAATATAATATAATATAATATAATATGATATAATATAATATAATATAATATAATATAATATATCATAATATATTATAATTATAATGTAATATATCATAATGTATTATAATTTGATATAATATAATATGATATAATATGATATATCCCATGATCTCCCTGAGCCATCTGTCCCTTGGCGTGGCTGAGGCAAGTGGCATTCCCATCACAGCTGAAGCGACCTGGGATCCCATCAATCAGGATGACGGGACCAGTGTGCCGGTGGCTTCAACAGCCCGCCAGCGGGTGAAGCTACCATCCAGCTTCTGTCACCTGGGCTCGGGGTTAGCTGGCTGTTGATGTTTTGGGATGTTTTAGGCCTAATTTTTGAAATGATGATTCAATTTCAATTCATTCCCCTAATTTTTGAGTCACGGTTTATTGCTGTGTTGACCCTAAAATCCCAGCGACACAGCGACTGGTGAGGCGATGGGGGCCATCCAGTTGCCTTTGACTCCTTTCTTTGCCCAGAAAATGCCGCGGAGCGGCAGCGGAACTTCCTACTTTACTATGCCACCTGGTTCGAGAATGCCTCAGATTGCCTCCTCTGTAGCCCTGAGAGCATTGAACGACTCTACAAGCGTGGAGTGGATCGCACCATTTCTTGCTTGCTCAGCCCATCCTTCATGTCCCCAGCTGCCTTGAGTTCTGATCCACAGAAGGACGGTATGAGAGTGATGTAGGAAGTCACTAGAGCCCTTTGATTTTGCATTTTCAGTAAGGACTCTTGACTCGAATTTCCAAGTTGAATGCCCACTGGAATTAGTTTTTAGGACCCTATTCCGTGTCGTGGCTGGAGGACCGGATGATCATCATCGCCTCAGATTCAAATCTGGAGGAGGAGTTGGGAAAGGTAGGAAAGTCTGGTGTTCTCACAGGTGGAACCTTTGTGGATCTCACACGCAAGGAGCTACGGCAACAGGCCAAGCTCAATGGATGAGAAAAAAAAGGTGACCTGCCGTGCAGCTTCACGTGCCCTGCCGTGCAGCTTCCCGTGCCTCCATGTGACCCATGATCGAAGTAACCCAGGTGCGCAGTGTGGTGCCAAGTTTGCAAGCAACGAAGCGCTAAAATCGGTGTCTTATCCCATCCAGGTGGGCGACTGATTTAAGGACCGCTTTGGAGACAGATTCATGATCTTTGGTATTAACCATAGATATTCACCATTATTAACCATAGATATTCACCATAGATATTAACCATAGATATTAACCATAGATATTAACCATAGATATTAACCATAGATATTAACCATAGATATTCACCATAGATATTAACCATAGATATTAACCATAGATATTAACCATAGATATTAACCATAGATATTAACCATAGATATTCACCATAGATATTAACCATAGATATTAACCATAGATATTAACCATAGATATTAACCATAGATATTAACCATAGATATTCACCATAGATATTAACCATAGATATTAACCATAGATATTAACCATAGATATTAACCATAGATATTAACCATAGATAACCATAGATATTAACCATAGATATTAACCATAGATATTCACCATAGATATTAACCATAGATATTAACCATAGATATGGCAGACGTCCTTGCCCTGGCCTTCCCATTCAATCAAGGAATCACTGTCGAAGCGGATAGGCTTTGGCCAAGTCTTCCAAGACTTTGCCGGCAATGCTGGGATGTCTGTGGAGTGGTACGGCTCCCTGGATGCGATGCACAGCACAGCTTCCACGGATGGAATCCTGTTGTTTTGCAGATGTGGAAGTTGATTTGACATTACATGGATTTGCTAATCATTTGAGCCATTACCCTCTGGTAATGACTAACATAGCTATTGAAAATGGTGCTTTATACTGGATTTTCCCACTAAAAATGGTGATTTTCCATAGTTTTTTGTTAAATTACCAGAGGGTATAATTAATGGCTTTTACCCATTACATTCATGGATTTGAGCCACTTTTGAGTCCAGGGAAAGCCATTACCCGCTTGCAGTGGGCTGCTGCATTTGGCATTACGTGGGGATCCAAGCTGCATCAAGCTGCCACGTTGTGTGCACCAAGTAAGTAATGTTCTGTGCTGTGATGACACCATTCAGTTTGTTTTTTGTTTTCATGTCGAAGCATTGTGCAGTATCTCATGAATCCACCATGGTACAACTTTCAGAATCCACAAAAAAACATAGTTTGATTTGAATGATGCTATCATAACTCGAATGTAGCCTGCAGCTTGAGCTGAGGCTGGGAACAGCTGGCTTCTCCATGGGAGGCAAAAAAGGAAGCGACATCGAGGCCCCTTCCAGGGCTGTTGCGGATTGAAGATATAGATGTAATCGCTCTGGTTATTTAACATAGCCATGGAAGCCATGGCCCATGAAAATAGATGGTTTACCTAATACCTATTAAAAATGGTGATTTTCTATGGCTATGTTAAATAACCAGAGGGTAGATGTAATATGATGTAATAGCCAGCACTCTTCGGAGGTTTCACAAATTTTCATCCAGGCAAAACCCCTCGGCGTGCTTCTCTTGATTGTCTCGTTGCTATGCCTTGGCCTTGGATAAGCACGTGACTGTGTCTGACTGGTTGGAAATAAATGGACTGATCACTGGAAGATCGGTCTATGACCTGTCAGCGTCACTTGTGCTGCCAGAGGTTGACGAAATGAAATCACTGGGTCCATGAAATCTGCGTGAAATTGTTGCGGCGGAGGCGATGGTACAGTGTCGGCAGCGCAGCAAGGGATGCGTAATCAGAAGGAGAAACTCTCCCCGTGCGCCAAGTGGCTCCGAAGGGAGATACCCCAAATGCCAAGTGGCTCACAGTGATTCCCTGTCAGGATAATTCAAGCGGGTTGATGCACTCATGGTAAACCATGTGCATTTTGCTCGGCAATCTCCCAACAGCCCCCATGTTATGACCTTAAAGGAAATTGGGGCCCGATCCATCAGCACAATTCGATCAACCAAACGAGCCCTGTAAAGTTGTGCATTTTCACCTGGCATGACTGACATGTGATCTCAATTTGGGAAATGAGCCCTGACCTCGGCCAGGTATGAACAAATGTTTATGACGAATGTGGGAGCAGCAATGATTCTCCTTCCAGCTACTTTGAAGCGATTCCAGAAATCCTTCGACTCGATGAATCACATGATTGGTTTGATTCTGAGCCCAACACTTAAGCAACTTAAGCCGTTTATGTATAGACTTAGTCACAGTTATATAGTCACTCAGTTTGTCCATGTAGTTCTTTAATGTTCTCTCATGGTCCTATGGTCCTTGATGAAGTGGATTTTAAGGTGGCCTTTGTCTCTGGTCAGCTGCAAGCAGGCCATTGCGACGATGAACCAAGCTGTGGGGGAAATGGTCTGAAATGATACCATGATACACTATGAATCATTATGATACCATCAAAAAAGGATAAAAAAGGTATAATCAAAAGGGATTAAAAAAAGGAATGTCTAGGCTACCTGAGTTCCATGTACTTCAGCAACTTTAGTACACAAAATGCACAGGGCGGTTGCGACGAAGTCACTGACTTAGCGAAAAAGAAAGCATATTCTGCTTGGCCCAATTCCCCCTGGTGCCCCCAAGCGGCCTTCGCGGCTTATGAGCCTTCGCACGTCCCAATTTCACGATTTGTTGGAAAGGTTTGTGATTTGTTGGGCTGGTAGAGTGATTTTCTTCGCCGCGAAGAGTGTCTGTGGGCAAACTTGTGAGTTTGCCTCGATGTTTTTCTTGCTTGATTGAGCAATTATCGAATCAGGGATACAGACTGGAACTTGTTTCATGATTGGAGTCAGGGTATGTTGTCTTGGGTTTTCTTGACCGTTTGTTGGCGACATGGGCTGTATGGGCAAACTTGGAAGTTTGCCTAGATGGTTGCCTTGGCCGGTTGAGTCATTTTTTTTTCGCAAATCTTGGCATTTTCGCTTGCAAATAGCATGACTGATCTTTCTCATCGGTTGCATGATGAAATGTTGCGGGTGACAGGTTTTTGCTGCTCGTGTGAGTGATGTGGGCTCTGTTTCCGTTTTTTGTGTGCATGAAGCCGCGGTGCGCTCTTTTCCATGTCGCAGCCTATGCCTCAGCAACCCAACTATTGTTCACCCCCATACTTTTTTAGCTTAGTTCCTCAGACGGCCCTTGCCCACCTCTTTCTCACAGTTCTATGCGTTTCTCTTTTCCTTTGTGTTGGTCTCTGTTCTGGTCATGTATGATATTTAAGATGCGGGACCTCAATATACAATGAACTATATAATGTGAAATACTTGGTCCTCACCGCATCTATACCTTTAGCCCCTAATTCTATCAATAATACCATCTGCAACATAGCCATGGAAAATCACCATGCTATTAATAGGTAAACCATCTATTTCTATGGGCCATGGCTTCCATGGCTATGTAGCAGTCAGAACCAGAGGGTAATACCATTTGCTTTCTCTTGGATTCTTGGATCCGTGACTGGGGGCACATCGTGGCACCCCAACATTTCTGGTACCCGCAGTGTTGACAGTCTGCAACACGGCAGGAATCGGCTTCCTGATGGAAAACATCACAATTTTAGATGAGGCATGATTTTGCACATCTTCGGCAGCACGTGCTGTAGATCTTCCTTGACGAAAGGAACTTTGGTGAGGGCTGTAGTTCTATCTCTTGAATTCTCTTGACACTTTTTTGATTCTACAACTTTCGATCGTGGATTTAAAGATCCTGTACATGTATAACAGTGAGCATCTGCACCTTGTTGACCTGCCACGCCAGATTGCCATCTTCGCACTTTGCTCAGCCTTTGGGCAGGCAGAGACCCAGACCCAAGAGTTTTCACATGTGATCCTGCAGATTTTCAATTTTACACTTCGTGTTTTTTTTGCTGATGTGGAAGATCCGGCAGGTCTTCATTTTCCTGACGATCGCGTGGTTTGGCCCAGACACCAACGCAAAGATCACCACGGTTCGAACGGCACCCAGGTAATTTGAACCAGACAATAAGCTCCGTTCCATCCCTTCTGCCTATTGTATGGGTGCAAGGTGGAAGCGTTGTTGAGAGTTTTTGAAGAAAGCATCGAGTGCCTTTTTTTTTCAAGCGCTCGATAGCCGTCCTTGACGAAGCGATACTGAGGAAAAATGGCAACTGTACTTATTTCGATCGTCTGGTTTGGTCATACCATTGGTACCACCCAGTGGGCCTTCGTTGGCGTTGCTGGGGTTCCCTGGGGTCGGTGTCGCGGACTGGGAAATCCGCACAAGTCTTTGCGGACTGGTTTGGCTTTAAATTGGTAGGTTAAACATGGAGAAACTATGTCCATCTATATCCTGTATATGACATTATATGACTACAAGATGTATACCTCATATAACTGTAGTCATTGGATGACTTGCTTTCATCATTTCCTTACCATGTCAGATTCACAGCTGCGCAGAGCCTGAGGTCTTTGCATCTGTCTTTGCAGAGATCAGCGAAAAGCTGTCGCGCGCCAGCAATTGGAAGACTGACGAACCTGCCAGCACAGATGAGCTGTTGCAGTTGTCGCAATCTGGACCGTCTCCATGGCATTCCATGATGCCAAGGCTAACGAACGGCAAGAAGGAGAATGGCAAGAAGGAGAACGGCATAAAGGAGAATGGCAAGAAAGAGAAGTAGGATCATCCAGCCTGTGCTATGGGCAGCTTGATAACGAACAAAGGCATTCCAGTGGCTGGACGCATATCCAAGTTTTCTAGTCTTGCAATGCGTTGGCAAAAGTGACATTGATGCTGACTCTGTTGAAATACCAACTGCACATAGGTTCGATTGAGCTTCTGGAATTCCACCAATTCAAGCATTTTCAACCTAGCAATTGACCTGCAACTGCCCAGCTACAGCCGACATCTGCTTCATGAAGATTGCATGAATCCAGTCGGGTGGCAGCCACTGGACACGTCTCCGAATTGTTGCATTGCGCAACTTGCTCGCTGTTCGTAGGCACCACACCCGTTGGCAAAATGAGGACCCCTGGATTCACACTGGAATCCCATGGGATGAACATTGGATTGAAATCGATTAACATTGAATTACCCTCTGGTTATTTATATAACATAGCCATGGAAGCCATGGCCCATAGAAATAGATGGTTTACCGTTAATAGCATGGTGATTTCCCATGGCTATGTTAAACAACCAGCGGGTAAATTAGATAATAGTTGTTGAGCGCCGACCATGCCCATTACCATTTGAGCATCTCCCCCAGGTTCAAAAGTTCAAAGGCTTCTGCATTTTGCTGCCCCATTTTTTGAATTCTAGTAGAGTGAGTGCAAGATCCTTTGCCTGCTTCTTGCAGGCAAGTGTTTTAATACTGTTTTATGTGCTTTGAATCACTTTGAACATGCTCCAAGTCTGATTTCTCCTATCTGGTATGGTGCTTAAACGCGTCTTGCAGCACTGCGCGCGCTGGATTGCCTTCAGCAACTCCAGAAGAAACCGGCTTTGGCGCGGCCAAAAGACGATGCCCTTCTTGGTCATCAGTACCGCGCACCTGAGTCCCGAGTCTCTCAGATCGGAGAAGAGCAGAGGAGACCTGTTTTGCCTGTTTTGCCTGTCCACATGAGCAGCAATTTTCTTGCTACCAGCGCCTCAAAGCTTTTCGCTTGAAGTGGCCAGAAGAGAGTCTATTTGTTGACCATGAGACATCTGAGACTTCAAATGAGATTTACAATTTACACAGCAACACTGACACTTATAGCATCTTGTAGCCACATCGACCAGAGCGCGGCCGAAGTGACTTCCATGTGAGAGCTCCTCTGTCACTGAAGTCCAGCAGGGTGCCTCTCCCGTGGATGGATGCGCTTGCTGTGCCAACACTTCAATGTACCTTCGCAGGCGGAGTTTCGCTACAGCTTTTCGCTCATTCCTCAAACTGAGACCAGGGACATGCGGAAGCCTCCTTGTTTTCCGCGCTGTTTCAAACCGTTGCTCTCACAATTTCTTGTCAGCTGCATGTAAAGCATGTTTTCAAAACACCATTAGCGGAGCATTGATGAACAGCTCTACAAAGCCACTGTTTTGCTTTTCTCCAGGTGCCTGTGCTCCAAGCCTGCCTGCACGACCAGTGGGCACCCCACAGAAACGACACTTAGCAGCACGAGGCGTGGACCTTGGTGGGGAGAAGACCGCTTTGTGGGCAATCTACCGATGGCACGTCACGAATTGGACGATTTTCAGTGACATGTGCATTTATAACATTTTATAACTTATAACTTGTAACATCATAACATCTTGCTTAGTTCATAACATCTTATGACTGTATGCATCAGAATAATGTGGACAAACGACTCTTCACAATGATCTTTGTTCTATTTTGACGCTACCCATCAGTTTTCAGGTCATGCTGCGCAAAGAGCACCAGTGGTCGTGTCAGCCCGACTACTTATTTGGACAGCTGCGATGTTGAACACTGCGAGAGAAAACGCTCAAAGCAAAGCGTGACCAATCTCAGTGAACGTGGCAGTGGCGGCACATGCGCTAGATGTCCTCCTTTTTTTGGCTCCCAGATAGGCAGCATTGTGTTTGACGAAGCCCATTTTTCGAGTCTGAAAAAGAACAAAGCGGATCAAGACTGAAAAATGCCGCAGTGACTTCATTGAAGCGCAAAAATCATAGTTGCCAGGCTGGGTGGTGGTGCAGCTGGAATGATGGCTGCCATGACTGCAGGCTTTTTTTCCGGGACGGCCGGGGATGCGATGCTGAAATGTGGTGAAAAGATGTGGTTTCAGTCAGAGGAGTCAAATACCCTCTGGTAAACTAACATAGCTATTGAAAATGGCCATTTATAGTGGATTTTCCCATTAAAAATGGTGATTTTTCATAGCTATGTTAAATTACCACAGGGTACCTGGAGGCATTCCGCTGTGCCACAGGAAACTGCCGAATCTTGAGGCCTTTCTGCACTTGATGTCGCGATGTGAATTTCTGAATAACCCCTGCGCAAGCCGCACTGGTGATCTCTTGCTCCAGGTCCTGCATTCAAATCATGAGAAATCTTCCCATTCGTCTCCGAAAGTCGCTAGTCCCAGACTTTCCCAGACTTCCATAGGCTCCTTTGCCAAGCCCCTGGCTTCCTGGGAAGCTTTGGAAGCCGGGGGACAACTCAGCAGACTCACATAGCGCCATGGCCGCCATGGCGAGTGTCAGCCACGCAAAGATGACTCTTCAGAGCCCACTCACGGGCATTTTGACTGCATTGGATTTCCACATATTTCCACCCTCCGAAATAGTGATCAATTCAAACGGTTGTATGTTGATGTTGACCTTGGGAGGACAGGGAGACCATTCACGCTGCGGCAAAGGTCAAGTTGCACAGGATGGTCACAAGAGAAATCTCTCATGCTCTTTTTGGAACATTTTTCCCCCCTGGTGGGTGCTTCAGGCAGATCTTCCACAGCAGTAGACTATTATTCGACTTCTTACAGAATATACAGAATTACAGAATGTTGCAGAGAGGCATCACCTTTGTTCGTATAAGAACATTCTGACTGATCAACAGCTCTGTGTTTGAAAAATACAAAAACTCTGCGTACTTCATCCTTTCCCGAGTCCCCCTTGCTCCAAGGTGACTCCGTTGCTTGGATGCAACTCATTGTGGAGTGCGGAGTCGCCAGCGGCGTCTCCACCTGAGGCCCCTGAAGGACTTGATGTCAGTCACGTGGCGAAAGAAGTGCGAAAGCTGAAGAAGGCGCAGATGTTTTCCTGGGTCGCAAGCGTAGCGCCGTAGAGGTTGAAGCCCCAACTCAGTGCGCAGCTCACACCCTTGAGATCTTTGTCAGGTCTTGCGTGAGATCGAGGCTTTAGAAGACCGCTCCTCTGGAGGCATCGAAGAAATCTTGCGTTGTCTCTGAATCTTGGTGCGTGGGACAAGGGCTAACACCTTGCAAGGAGAGCAGCTGCTGGACTGCCAGCTGCTGAAGATGCAGAGAAAGACTGAGATTTTGGAGCCCAATCTGCAATTGGTTGGCGAGTTAGCTCTTGAACAAATCAAATCCAAGGCATTAGCCTGAGCAAGAGTCAAGCCTGAGGTGCTTTCAGCAGTTTTTGTGTTTTTTTTCGCCCAACTTCTGCAACAGTTGATTTAAGATCCAAATGGAAACTTGTCAACGAAGTCGCTTCTTCTTGGACTTTTACCTACGCCAAATGGGTGTGTCCGAAAATGGGATATACCATGAAAATCCATGAAATACCCACAGAACTTATAACTTATGACTTATGACATCTTATGACCATTTAAACAATTTTAAGCAGGGATCATGAGTCGTAATGATGAACCAGTGGAATGGGACACCCTATTCGTTGTGTTCTGAGGACAAGCTGGCTGATCTCACTGGATGGTCCTGACACGACCCATCCGTGGGGATTCCTAAAGGCGAGGAGAGTTTTGGATGGGAAGCCTGGCAGGTGTCATTGCTAGTCGCGTTGGCAACGTCAGACTGAAGTTCAAACAAAACTGAGGGTACCCTCTGGTAAACTAACAGTTTGCTATTGAAAATGGCTATTTATAGTGGATTTTCCCATTAAAAATAGTGATTTTCCATAGCTATGTTAAATTACCAGAGGCTACAAAAAATGGTACAATCATGAATTGGTACTCATGGTACTCGTGGAACAACAGTTTGGTTGCTGAAAAAATATGATTGGTCAGAGTTCAAGACAGCATGGAACACTTCTGGGGAACTGACACAGGCCTGTGTGCGTATTCAGGAAAAGGAGTCTCAAGTCAGTATCTGGTCAATACACAGGGGATTCATCAGCAATGCATTTCCCAACAGCTTTCAGAATCTCACAGTGGTTGGTATGGCAAAGCTCAGCCTAGGTGAGAAGCCCGATGCAAGATGTGCTCCTGTTCAGGGAATGTCCTTCAAAGATCTTCAAAGGGCAACTGATCCGCAAAATGGAAAGGTCGTTGGGCCATGAATCATGTCTCATTGTGAATTGTAGTATCAAGAGACATCAGGACCTGCAGCAGTTGCTATGCCCAGCGCCCCGAACTCCATTGGCTTCATTGAGCCGGATGTGTACAGTGTACAGCCGTGTACAGCGCAAATAGCAGGAGTGCAAAATGCAAGGGATTGGATGAGATGGTATAGTCCGGTATAGTCATACAATATAACATAATATAATATAATACAATATAATATAATACAATATAATATAATTTAATATAATATAGTTTAATATAATACAATATAATATAATATAATATAATATAATATAATATAGTTTAATATAATATAATATAATTTAATATAATATAATTTAATATAATATAGCATAATATAAGATAATATAATATAATATAATACAATATAATATAATATAATATAATATAATTTAATATAATATAATATAATATAATATAATTTAATATAATATAATATAATATAATATAATTTAATATAATATATTTTAATATAATATAATATAATTTAATATAATATAATATAATATAATTTAATATAATATAATATAATATAATTTGATATAATATAATATAATATAATATGATATGATCATGCAAGTCATCTAAGTCATGGTACAGTCTGGCAGTGTGAAGATCCCGATTTTTGTTACCTGACTTGGCAGGGCGGCGGGGTCGTCCCGTGACTCTCTTGGAGAAGAACAGTGAGTTGGGGAAGAAGATCAGGACACGTCGCAGCGGTCGATGTTCTGTCATCCAGGTCAGTGAAGAGTGTAATTTTTCATGCAGGTTTCAGTAATTCCTGATTGAACCACTCAGATTGCTGCGAATCATCTTCGAATCACCAACAGAACGCCCGTGGTATGTCTTCATGATCTCCACAGTCGCATGGCGTCGCATGGCAGGATCAGTGGTGGGGGTCGCTGCAACTTCACCAACATCTCGGAGCGCGGTGCGCATGGCTGTGACCTGGTGACCTGGATTTCAGTTTCTTTGAGCATGGGGTACCCTCTGGTTATGTCAACAGTTTGCTATTGAAAATTGGAATTTTTAAGGGGGAAATCAAGTATTTCGACTGGGCCATTTTCAATAGCTTTTTGTATGTTTACCAGAGGGTAATTTTAATGAAACCAAGATTAACAAAAAAAACATGTTTCCCATTGAAATACTGCATGTACATGTTTCCGTGGCCACAAATTGGGACCCAATTTTGGAGAAAGCGGTGTGGGTCACACTGGGACCCAGCAAATCTAGAGATTTCGGGGCTTTCGAGGAGAAACTTGACAGAGCCTACCATTCCTCACCGGTGATTGATGAGGCAGCAACAGGGTCAGAGGTCTTCTGCATCTGACAGATGGGCCTGGGTCAAAGTGGTGCACTCCCTATATATATATATATATATGTTTGGTTTGGTTTTTTTTGGATACCTGATCAACAACAGTGGAGGGGGTTCTAGGCTTATCCGGCAATGTTACGTTGGGTCCCCCTGGCAGGATTTTGCACAGTCCGATGGCAGCTTCTTCCAGAAGGCACAACTGGGTCTTTGCCAATCGGAACGTTGGAATAGTTGAATAGTTCCTTATTCCAATTATCATCAACTATTATCATATCATCCAATAGATATCAATTGTCATCAATTATCATCCCAATTATCACAATGTTAGATATAAGATATCAATTATCATCAATTATCTCATATCATATATATATCATCCCCTGAGAACAAGCGCTTGTACATATCATATCATCCCTGGTTGTTTTGATCGCCTCCAAATCATCCAACTCGTTTTCGAGGCCTTTCGTCGATATCCTCCGGAAAAGTTCATTGCCTTGGTGGAGTCCCACGGCATCAAGTGCCCTGGTTCTATCGGATAGGTTGGATCCCCTGGGTGTCCCCTGGGTGTCCCCTGGGTGTCCTTCAGGTCGTTCAGCTGCAGCGAGGTACCATGAAAAGAAGCTGGGACAACTCTTCTGCAACAAATCCGCGCGGCAGATTGTGGACATGCTTCAGCAGGAGTAGTGCCTCGGTGGTGAGGGGTGGCGAGGGGTGGCTCGAGCTCTGTCAAGCCGCAGATTTCATCTCAAGATAGGGTGGCATGTCCGATCCTAGGACCTAAGATTCCAGAATGTTCCAGAATGTTCAACGTGTTTTTGTTTATCTTTTGTTGCTGAATTCCAGTGGGCCACCTGCGGCAGGAGTGTTTGGCTGCATCAGTGGAACTGTGCACTGAAGCTGAGTGTTTGACGGTGGCTGCAGTGGATGCCGGGAAGCTACAGCCGTGATGCTGATGGTTGGTCAAGCTCATGGCTTCAGTAGTTATCCTTCACTATGTCCACTGGTTTTGACCTGGTAAAAATGAGTTGCTGGTTTATGTTCCATTCTTTCTTCATGATGGTTGCGCTTGTATGATCTTGTATGACAATTTGGGGGACAGTAGACTGCTAGACTTGTAGGATGCAGCATGGAAAGCTGTGCTACTTCACAGTATGCAACCTGAACCAAATCAGCTTGAACCATCAACTGTTGTCCTTACGATGGGTGAAGATTCGTCAGTTCGGCAGCGGTTGAGAGGCGGTTGACACCACTTTCCCTGGAAAAAATGCATGCATGCATGCATACATACCTACATACCTGCATACATACATGCATCTCCCCTGTTTGCATGTCTCACTTCGCTTGCATGGCACATGGGTGTCATGTCTCTACACCTGTTGCACTCGCATGATGTGGTTGCTCCCCGGGCCATGGATCGTTCTTGCTGGTGTCTCCGGGTGCACTCTGTAGGGTCCTCGTGCTGCTCGCTATCGGATTGAATATTTGAAGTGTGACCCTGAGATCGCGCCAAAAAGTCGCCAGAGTGCCACAGACTGAGCACCAAGCATTCATCTGGTTGGTGGTTTCAAACATTTTTATTTTCCATAATATATGGGATGTCATCCTTCCCATTGACTTTCATATTTTTCAAGATGGCTAAAACCACCAACCAGTCATGCTTTGCAAGATGATCCGAAACTCATTTCGTGCCTAGGGATGACAAGAAGAAAGAGATCTATGCTGAGGCATTTGAGTAGCCGCCAATTGAGCACAATTGGAGTCGTAGCCAATTTGGCCATTTGGACGGCCAGCAAGTCTTATGGCACCGTGTTGTGCACCAGGCTGTGCTGGTGGCTTCTGGTGGATTGAGCTATGCCAGAAGTTGCGACTGCCTCAGCATTTTGAACACTTTCGCCATCTTTCGCCCAAGTTGAAGTCGTGGACCTCCTGAAATCCTCCAAGGTGGTGCTACTGACCTGGCTCATCGCATTGCTGACTCCTTCAACCTCAAGGCGGCTCGAATTGATAGTTGCGAAATAGATGATTCCAAGTGAATCCAATTGATTCAAATTGATTCAATAGCTTCAATCATATTTGATCTTCAACACGAAAATTCTTGCAGGTGACAGGCGTAAGACCAGGACTTGTACCACTCTTGCTTCCCTCCGACGCATGGACCAGGCGAATCTGTCCCAAGTCATTGGGTGCAGGGTGGGGTGAGGGTGGTACAACCAGGAATGGAATCGAGATGAAGGGGAACGCTCCTGCTAGAGAAACCCCAGAGCTGTAACCACTCTAGACTCTCACAGTGTCACACAGTTCCACTATTTAAAGATATTTAAAGCATGGAAAGATCATGGAAGTCTTCATTCTCTCAGCATGCAGCTTCCCGCGGCTACACCTCACTTGCCACCTTGTGGCAGCCGTTCAGGAGCCTCACAGGTGTTTCTCTGGAGGTCCCCTGTGGCGCATGAGGGGTATCAATGGATATTACTGGGGGGTGCAGTTGGGATTTTGAATGGCTGTAACTACGGCTATACGGCTATACCATGCTATACCCACTTCCGAATCCCATCTGGAACTGCACCCCCGTATATTCTGGTCGCAGCTTGTCATTTCTTAGTAGGGACTCGTCTTCCGCAGGTAGCTGCCTGCATGGGAAGCACCGTCTTTGATCCGGGCTCAGTACATCGTTTTTTTCAAAATGGCACTGGAAGGTGCCACCAGGACATATTTGGAGGTGACATACCGTATCCCTCTGGTAAACTTTTACATAACTATGGAACATCACCATGCTATTAATGGGAAAACTCACTATTTCTATGGCCATGTTCCAGTTCGCTTTTTGTATGTTTACCAGGCCGGGTATCTGGAGTGAAGAGATCTTGCAGGTGACCTCCGACCCGTCCTTGGCTTGGCTAAGTGTCGAGGTGGAGCGCATCCTGTTCACACACAAGGGCATCAGTGGTCCAGCGGCATCCAATGCATGTTTTTGAGCCGGAGAGTCGGTATCAAAAGGTGTTTTTTACGAGTTCTAGAATCTGATTGGCGGTTTGGAACATGAATTTTTTGACCTTCCATAATATATATGGGATAATCCTTCCCATTGACTTTCATATTTTTCAAGATTGTTAAAACCACCAACCAGATGAGTTCTAGAATGTTCTCCATGGTTTTGCCCAGCAATGTTTGTTTTTTTCCTACTTCTATGTTGCTTCATGCGGATGGCAGGTGCTTCAGGCTTCATCCTACTGGGAACACCATGCCGATGCCCACAAACCATTGGTCTTGGATGTGCTGCCTTACCTGAAAGAGGAGACATGGTGTTCCTCTGACTGAATCCCGAGGGGGTACCGGTTTTCCATGCTGCTGATGACCTTGAAATCAGTTTCAACAGCAACCGTTAAGTTTTCTTCATAGAATTGGATGATGGGAACATTTACAGGAAAGCCCTATATTTGATGGTAAAAACCATGGTTTCCTGTAAATTTTCCCTTAAACCAATCCAGTGATTTCTGCAGCGAGATCAAAGTTTTCTGCATGTCAAAAATCCAGGAGGAAGTGTTGGAGTGGCTCCAGCGGCGTGCAGAGAGCTGTCGGAAACGTCAGAGTCGCCGTCCCATGTTTCTTGGCCCTTTGAGGGAGGGACTCTTGGGCTATCTTGGGCTTCTGAAATATTTGGATCTCTGGGGTGGCGAGCATGTCCTCCTTGCTCAGCCTTGCTCGATGATAATTTGAGGGCCAGACGTGGGCATTTGCGCACTTTTCTCCAATTCTGCGCAGATATTATATAGAGTTTGCCAATGTTTGCCACCGTTGGTTCAATTAAATAGCACTGCCACATGGCATCGCCATTTCAACTCCAGATCGGCTAAAAGGCTTTCAACTTCAGCTGTGTTTGCCCAGAGTTGCTGTCCTGGATTTGAAGGGTTGACAATGCAATTGCAGATTCAAGTGACTATTTTAGAGAGATCAACTTTCCCTGCATGACATCCATGGTGTATGCGCTGAGGCCGGCCAGTGAGGCAGGCTCTGTATGGTGGGACGATGAAGCAGAAACCTTGCCACCATAAGAGGAAAAAGTAGCCTTCCTTGTGATAACGCGCTGGATCAAAAGTAGGGGAGGTACCACTCGACAGTTTTCAGCGATGCTCAACGATGCGGATTTCGGATGTTCAGCAACAAAAATGTCGCCAGGAACTCGCCCGGAAGCTGCCTCGACGCTTTGCCGACGGCTTCTGGAAGAACGAGGCATGATCAGCATGGCAACATTGGAACTTGGACCAAAGCCGAGCCGTAACCAGCCGTGTTTGTAGCAACCAGCCAACTCAGCCAACCATTTTTTCAGTTGACCACATCAAAGCCAACTTTGAGGCCAGCAAACACCTTGGAGTGCGCCCCAGATCTGGCCTGGAGGAGGGTTCCCACCCTTCGTTGCCAGGGTGCCTGTTCCACTTTCTAAGTGAACTTGCTCTAGAAGCCGACGCAGATCAGCTTCTTTTCAGATTTTTTCAGGATGTTGCAGGAACTCTTGAGGCTCAAGGTAATTTAGGAAGCACTTGGTGATGAAAAAAAGCCATTCTCCAGTGGTTTTTGTTTGCCTTCTCGACTGCAAAACTACTTGAACCAGTCCTTTTCAACCTGCACTGACAACCACACATTCGATCCGACCGTTCCTATGTCAACGCTCACACTCCAAACTGTTACCCCCCAACTCCCAAGCCTTTCAGCTCATGTACACCAAAAGCTGCTTAGCCAACAGATTTTCTTGGCACCGATTTGGTCCCCCAAAAGGGGGCTCCATGTATTCCTCTGTGCTGAAGAAATGGCGAGCTCGTGAAGCAGAAGAAGCGAAACTGCTGCGACCTGCTGATACACTCACCAGGAGCTTCGGGTCAAAACACTGCTGTAGCTGGCAACACAGATGGACAGCAGATCTCATAGCTATGCTTTTTTTTCTATGATTTTATCAAAATATAATCACCTTGAAATTCATGAAGATTCTGAAGAAAACATGAAGCCATCAATTTATCATCATCAAGTCAATGGGAATTTCACTTACATAGGCCTTATATAGGCCTTATATATGGTAGGTACTTCCATTTTAGTATCCTGAAATTCCCATTGATCAAGTTCCCTTTCTTAAAGATGGCTGATATCCCATCCGCCCAGGAAGAAAGCAGATTGGATTTTACCCGCAGGTCATGGCCTGGACCCAGACCACGAGGTCTTGCTGCGTGTGCGGCAGCGCCTCAACGCTGCCAAGCGCTTGAAGGATTACACCTGGCATCAGTTTCTGGGATGGCTCGGATGGCCAGGATGGCCTGGTGGTTTTGGGAATCCTCACTGGCAACAATTTTTGGCGAACGTGACATGTTGTGACTACGTGATTAACTGTGATTACACTGGTGCAATGCTGATGATGATGCCATTTTTTTGATGCCTGCAATGTTGTTGTATCCAAAGATCAACAGGATCCCTTTCGTACCTAAATTTATGCCTTTAAATATGCCGAATATGCCCTGGATGAAGCTCTGATTCGCTGCAGCTCCAAGATTAAATAGAAGCTGTTTATCTGGTATTATTGTGACATCAAGAGTGCAGGGCTTTGATCTTGAAGGCCTTGCACTGAAGCTGCACCTCAGACTGTCCGACTTGAACAGGTCATGAACAGGTCATTGCTGTGTTTTACTATGGGTCTGGTCTTGTTTCGTGGTGTTTTCTTAGGGAGTTGCCGTTGTGCGTTGCCGTTGTGCGCCTTGGGTATCTGAGGCTCTTTGCTTTCTGCGACAAGGATCGGTCCGGTACCTTGGACTGGAAGGAGTTCAAGCACCTGGTGCGAGATACCTTGGCGGTGCCGCAAGAAGCCGTTGCCAAGCTTGAAGCGCTGCGCGCTGGGAACTGGTTGCTTCGTTGTTTTAAAAGCGTAGGAGAACATAGGATAACAGTAAAGGAACCTTTCCCAACACGGGATTGAAATTAGGGGGAATCCATGGGAATCCCAAAAAATTGCATGACATGGCCAGGCCATAGGGGGGGATCAACATCGTTCACAGGTTTGTGATGCGGACATGATGCAGCTCTTTCGCAGCATCGACCAGGTGCATCTTAAATGTGGGACCACAATTTTTTAGTACACAAAAGTTGGGTTGGGTTGATCCATGCTGAGTCACTATCTGCTAGAACATGACGAAGATTTGTGGCTTTTGGGGGCCATCTTGGGTCCAAAGTTTTGACCCATAGCGCCCCATTAGTGATGGTCACAAGGTGAAGACATATTTTTTTCTGTTACTGTCGAAGAAATTGTGTTCGGAGCCTGGAGCTTGGGGGGTTTCAGTGATTCTTGGGCGTTTCCAAGTAGTACCCTCTGGTAAACTAACATAACTATGGAAAATCACTATTTTTTATGGGAAAATCCACTATAAATGGCCATTTTCAATAGCTATGTTAGTCATTACCAGAGGGTACCGGATACTGTGGAGGATCCTCACACAGCGCCTTAGATTTTTCGCGGCCAGGTGGAAGGTCAGGGAAAAGGGAGCCAATTGGTTGATCTCAGCCACTCAGCATGACACGTGGCAATCTTTTCAATGGAAAAAGCCATGAAAGTTTTGTTCGAATCAAAACGGTCACTGAGGTGACCTTGAAACATCCCTCTTTTTCCTCCATTTTCCCTATGGAAACCGCAGGTGTCTTGGTGATTTCACTGGCAGTTGAGGTGAGCTGCTCCACTACTTGGCCAGAGGGCAACTGGATCCCGAGGTGTTGGCAGCGCGAGCGCAGCAGCGGGTGGAGCGTGTCAGACGGAATATCCAATTGGCCTTCGTGCACCTTTGATGATACATTTCAATACATTTCACGGATTTTCCCAGTAGATTTTGGACATATTTTTGGACATTTTTGGACCTCTTGCAGCACTTGGATGATCATTTGGAGGATGATATATGGTAAGTATTTCAGCATGGATGGTCATGGATGGTTGGTATGTAACTGTCTTAGTTCTGGGGCTATCCCGTTCGGGAGTGGGTCAGAATTCCGAATCATGATCAGCTACTAGGCTACTAGTGTTTTCCGACTGGGATGGTCACGCCGGAGCTCACATTTGGACCTAAATAGCTATGCATTGCTAAGGAAACTGGAGCTCACGAACTCTGATGCCCGTCACATGTTCCACCGGATTGACATGGATACTTCCAACCGGGTGCCTCAGTTGCTATGTTGATCACGTTAGGCAGATCTCCATGCTTCATCAATGTGCTGAAAGCATCACCAAGCAACGAGGTCAGGTCGCCAACGCAACGCGTTTGTTTTTCTCGTTGGCTCATCAGGTCTCCCCCTTTGAGTTCGAGGAGTTCGTTCGAGGTAGACTGCAGTTGTCTCATTGGGATGTGATGCCTGCAGACCTAAAGGACCTGGCTGATTTCGATTGGTATGGTATTTTGATGATATTTTTTAATGATATGTATGATATGCATGTTTTATCTACAGGAAAACTTATATATTAATATATATATATACATATTATATATGATATGTATGTTCTATCCACAAAACTCACCTCGATCTGAGCAGCAAATGCTGCAAATGGATTGTAGTCCTTGATGGCAGTGGTTGCTTCCATGTTGCGAGGAATTTTATAACTTCCTTGACCATGATGGCGATGGCATCGATATGTACGAGTTCACGGACTACGTCCAAAGGGTCAATAAGACAAAGAAGACGTTGGGTGCGCAAAACATGGCCCGAGCCAGTTCTGGACCTCTGTTTCGGCGAAAGCAAAGGACTTTCAAGGATCAGTTGGTTCAGGATTTGGAGAATGGCAGCAATGGTGGCAGAAGCATGCCAAACTTGAACCTTACCTCTTCATTCGTGAACGTTGGGCGGCAAAAGCGTCCAACCAACCGCTTCGCAGCGTCTGGCATGTCAATTTTGGCATAGCCAAGTTGGCATCAGCTGAGGAAACTCAAGCAGCAAAGGTAAAAAGCCTTGGAACGTGGGTCAGGGGCCACCTCCGAGACCAGAGAATTTCAACATGATTCCACAGGTTCAATCATTGCATCGAAATCTGGGCTATGGACTCACTATTTACATGAAGTCATTAAGTGTCATTAAGCGTCATTGAGTGTAAGATAAAGCATCTATTTCAGTGTTAAATAACTGATTCGGCTTACAACCATCTGGTAAATAAATGATAAATAACCATTAAGATAAACATCAATAACCATATATTAACCATATATTAACCATATATTAGCCATATATTAGCCATATATTAGCCATAGATTAACCATAGATTAACCATAGATTAACCATAGATTAATAAGATACATCAACTTCAGTGGAGCCTCATTTCAGTCTTTGCGGAGCTGGAACTTTTCGCGTCAGGACTTGGAGTCTTCGGCCTTGCAGCGATTGGCATCGCTTCTGAAGCGCTGGGAGGTGGGCATATGTTAGCTATGAGAGGCATGAGATTTTGACTTGGTGCATATAGAATATATTAAGAAATATTCATTATTGATATATATATATATACTGTATATAACACTATAATTAACTATAATTATATATATATATGTATATATATATGTATACACATACTATTCATACATCATACATTCATAAATCGTTTGTGAAAGTCATCCACTCCGGAACGAATTAAGTCGCCAGGTGAAAGTCATCGGTACCGAGGGATACCCGAAGGCTCGGAATGCCTAGCAGGTGGCATGAAACCTGTCCTCCCGAACCCTGGGAATCATGGTTTAGATATAGGGAATCATCCCAAAATGGGAACATACCTCAAGATTCAGGTTTATGAAATATATTAATTTACCCAGATATTGCAATCAAAGACTGAAAAAAGATGTGACTCAGTTGGCCAACCAGCGATTTTTGCGGATGCACTGATTGATGCACTTAGACTCAGCCGTATTGACAGTGCAACCTTTCTCAACACTGATAGGCTGAAGTCACATGTGGTGGAGTCAGTACGGAGGAGCTTTCCGCAGGGCCCTCGAGAACGGCGAATTTCTGCACCAAACCTGACTTGTTTGCGCAACGAAGCTTGTGGGGTGCCTGCAGAATGATGCAATACCGGCAAGACCTAGTTGGGTAGTGTTGGGTAAATAGCTCATGATATCTCGTGATGCTCTGATTTGGCATTTGCATCACAGACTTCTGGATCCCCCAAAACAATCGAAATCGACCTTGCCGAAGTGGAGCAAGGACGAGACCATGGAGTGCAAAAGGCAACCAGGACTCTTCTTCATTGGAGAGGCAGGCAAAAAAAGGGGTCAATTTAGCGATTTGCCAACGTTCCCTTTGAGACACAGGAGGTTGAACACCGGGCAAGCAAGCACCATTTCGATGCAGTGTGTTTATTTTACTGGTGCAAAACGCAGGGAATTTTCGGGAATGATCCACAATAACTATCAATAATCATCCCAGCAACCCCCAGCAACCCATCCATTTCCTACTAAGCAAAAAAACTTACTGGTGCTTAGTTATTAGTTAATTATTACAATTGGACATGTTTTAATGGTTTTTACCAGTAACTTATTTTCATTGTCGCCAATTGGTTTCAGTATATAATATATAAGTTATTTTCATAACATTAAACTAACAGTTTGCTATTGAAAATGGCCATTTATAGTGAGTTTTCCCATTAAACATGCTGATCAATGGATGATTAATCTGGTAAACTAACAGTTTGCTATGGAAAATGGCCATTGAAATAGTGAGTTTTCCCATTAAAAATTGTGATTTTCCATAGTTTTCCATGGTTTTCCCATTAAAAATGGTGATTTTCCATAGTAAAAACACCTGGTTCATTGGATCCAGAGCCAGGCGGTTGACGTCACAGGATGGCTGGGAGGTACCTTGGACGATGGTGACCCCAATTTTGAAGCTCGATCTATGGCTCAACATTTCGTTTGATTTGTTGGAATACTCAGGGAATAAACTTGATCATCTTAATTTCGAAGTATCTTGGATTCTCAAAGTCTAAAGCAAGGGTTTCAGTTATATTAAACTTTGGGCAAGCTTGCCTTTACCGTCTTCCTGGCCATGAGCCATCACGAAAGTGAACATGGTTACAGCACGCAGTTATCCGAGCTATCCTGATCAGACTTGACAGTACGCAACTTCCTCGTCACGTACATCGCAGAGGTTTTTCGATTTACCCTTCGGCCACTCCACTGGTGATCGCCCCCGATTCCGTGGGTTACCCTGATCATCTGAGGTAATTGACAAACCGATGGACCCCCATTTTTGTCAATTTTGAGACGCCCATGTAGCTCATGTTTTTTTTTGGCTCACGGTCCGCATGAGGTTACAATTTCCAATGGGCCTGGGCCTCCGGCTTTGCTGCCGGCGCCGTGTCCCTTGGCGATTTTTGGATGACATGGGATGACAATTTTGCCCAGGAATCCCTTGGAATAGACCCCATGGCATGTCGACTATGGCGGATTTCCAGCCAGGTGCTGACCTGGGCCATTGGCGACAAATAGCTGCTGTGCGATGGGTATCTCACCGTGGTGACTGGCACAGTGACAGAGTAGCAAACACCAGAATAGTAATCTCTTTGATATCCCTGAGCTGCCAAACAATATCAAACAATGTAGAGAACATCAGTTTTGTGAACCTAGTTCTGCTGTTTTTCTGAACGCTGACGCGTTCCATGACAATTGCACCCACCAAGAATCCTTTGGTTTGGATTTGCGTCAAGGATTCCAATGTGTGATGATTGTAGCCATGGTATGCCATGGTTTACATTCACGAGACAGCACGTCCTGCGCCCTTGCGAGCTGTTTTTTTTTGGCCGAAACGCTGGAAGAACAAGCTGCATCCTTTTGTGGAGCAAGACAATATATGCACCGATAAAGACATCGGACCCCGTCGCCATATATTGGGAATGTCATCATCCCAACTGACTAACTCCATGATTTTTCAGAGGGGTAGGTTGAAACCACCAACCAGCTATGGATCATGATTTATTTTCCATATGGGATGTCATCCTCCCCACGAACGCCAACATTTTTCATGGTGAAATTGCCATGGCGTGACGACTCAATTCCTGATACAGGAGCCCCTGTTTTCGGTGGTTGGGTGGCTGTCGGAACAAGGTTGATACCATGGATACCTAGATTACCCTAGGATACCCAAATTGCGTAAATGATAGTAAAGCATGAGAATATCTGATCATGCTGGATCTTTCTTGGGCCTTCCAGCTTAGATACACAGGCTGTAAAGTGACCCATAGGCTGCATCCGCTACAATTCTGGAGGGTTCAGGAAGACTTCTCAAGATATCTGTAACTTCTGGTGCACAGGGAAGTAGCTCAGTAGCAGAGGATGCCATTCTGGATGTCAGAGGGATCGTTTGGAAAAGGACACAATGTCACAACCAGTGACCCAAGAGCTTAAACAGTACGGTCCTGAGGGTCTGAAAGATCTTGCTGGTAAGAGAGCCTGAATGAAGAGACATTCCCTGTTTGATTAGACTTGACCATCCTTCAATATTCCACCATCGACTTTGGTGAAGAAATTAAACGACAACCCAGCATCAACTGGGATGCTTTGGAATTTCAAAACTCTGAAGCGGTAAGATGCTGTACGATCTGTTTCACGAGACTTTCTGGCGGGATTCCATGCTTTTCTGGACTTTTCTGCCTTGTTTTGTGATTTTACTATATTTTACTATCAGTTTCACAGGCATCCATCGCATCTATAAGCATCACATCCGTGACATCCATGGTATCGGCATCACATCCATGGTATCCGCAGCGGGGCTCCTCTCGTTGTCGTTTTTTCGCTTCGCGTCGAGGGACACCCCGCGTGATGGAGATGCCGACGGCATCAGCCCCGGCTTTGAGGGATTCCGCCTTACCTGTTGCTGTGACAGGCGGTTTGGGTGAGGCATCAAATAAGCAGCATGTGTGTTTCAATGTTTTCCTTCCGAGTGGGAGGTTTGCCACTATCTCCTGCTTGAGCACAGAGACTCTGAAGGGGCTTCAGCTGCAAATTGCTGCACTTCTGGGCCTAAAAGCAGCAAACCCCCTTTGTGATGGCATACCTCTTTTACATTTTTTTCGGCCTACATTCAGCGAATTCAGCAGCCTCCTTTGTCTGGACACACTTGCGGCAGAACTTCAAGGGTGCAGTGTTCAAGTCTTGCAACAAGAACATCCAGACTGGTGTCGACACAGATGCTTTTTCAGGCACTCGCCGGCCATGGACTGGGACATTGAAGAGGAGATCACAGAATGGCTCTGGCTTTTTTCCAATGGGCAGTTCAGGTACCTGCGGCACAGATATTTTTGGAATGAGGGAGTGCACACCTGGATCTGTAAACTTGGTGAAGTCGACAGGGAGGAGTTTGAAGGTATCGGTTCCTGGCGTTGCGTTTTGTTGGAAGGTGGAGGGGACAGTTCTCTGGAGGAGGTCGTCACGCTTGAGGGCACGGCAAAGACGTGGCATCAGTCAAGTCGAGACCAAAATGCCTATCTGCAGCGTAAGATCCGGATGACTTTTCCAAAGGCGACCCTGCTGCAGAACTATGAGAGCATATTCTTGGATCCGTAGCCGGCGTTGCCCTCTGAATTTTCGGCACCTTGTGCAGGTTCCAATTTTTGAGAATTCAGGATTCCAATTTCCAATGCACAAGGCCCCTTTGAAGAGATTCAGGACACGCGTCAGTTGCATGCACTCATTATCCCCTCAGTCCTAGCTGGTCCTAGCCTACTTGATCAGGCCAATGGCGCAATAGCCATCTGCCGCTGATACTGTGGACAGAATGGATGGCCTCATTGCTTTCGAGTTTTGTCCTTTGTGTGCTACGGACTGGGAGATCTGAAAAGCAGAGGGAAATGAGGGAAGGGGTCCTTGAGGGCAACTTTCAAAGAGCATGAGTAGGAACAAGTTTCAAAAGAAATGATGGGATGGCTCATTCTTTATCCTACAAAGAAAAGTGGTAAAACTGAGTGAACAACTACACTTCTGAACTATATATGTAGTAGACAGGAAAAAACCTTCTTTATCCTTACGAAAACAGCTGTGATTGCACCTCAATATCAGCAGTATGGAAACTCAAGTTCATCCTGCCCATGCGAATGTGAGGCATAGTTCCGCATGCTTGGAAGATGTCTACTGCTCTTGATTAAAGCATAGTCTGTGTGTTTCTTTTATTGATGATTGCTGTAGGATTACGATGGAGATGCACGGAGCACAGAAACACCACGAAACGTCGTTGCAACGTATAGATTCTGTGCAGCGATGCCAGGAAGATCTGACCAAAATGCAGCTGTTCTCCTCGAGGATGAAGACGCCAACAACACACCAGGTACCAAGCTGCAGCTGCCAGATCTTCAAACATCAAGATCATCAAGTTGAACATACTTGAACATACTTGAACATAGCCTGTGACATAGTTGAACAACTTGAAGTTCACCATTTTTTGGGTGATCATTCCATATTTCAGGGATGGATTTTCTGACTCTGACGGTTTTTTTTTGCGGTTGAAATCATCCGCTTTCCGTTGCCGCAGCTGCCGCAGCTGCCAGGTGATGTTGGCGGCTTCGGAGCTGGGGCCATACATCCCAGGCATCGGCCAGGCATATCACACCTCCGTGCTCATTGACAACGAAGAGTCCAGCAGCCCAGGGGATCAAAACGTGGGAAAATATGGGAAAATTACCCTCTGGTAAACTAACATAGCTATTGAAAATGGCCGTTTATAGTGGATTTACCCATTAAAAATAGTGATTTTCCATAGTTAGGTTAGTTTACCAGAGGGTACAGTCATCATATAGTCAGATCATGTCATATCCATTATGGTCATAGTCATGATATAGCTATATAGTCACTATTTTTCTCAAGCCGTTGTCAACGCGCCACATACCATGTTTTTTTTTGGGATGCGCATCCATGAATCCCAGCGAGTTTTTCATGGTTGAGTTATTGGTGCTATGACAAACGGGGATATCATGGGAAAGCAACTAAAATGGCTACCCTCTGGTAAACTAACGTAACTATGGAAAGATCCACCATGCTATTCATGGGTAAATCCACTCTTTCTATGGCCATTTTCAATAGCAAACTGTTAGTTTACCAGGCCGGGTATGTAATGGAAAAATACTCAGCAGTACTGAGATGGGACATAAGAAGCAAACTTAGGGCGTGATGTGACCATAGAGGACCGATAGGAGAGTCCGGTCAGCTCTGTTCACAACGCAAATGCACAGTGACATGAGGTACCAGTTTGATGGCAGTGGCATTTGCGTGAGCCAGAATCTCAGAGAAACATGTCTAGTTCTTCCTTCGATGCTGAATTCTCATCCCCGAGCGTGCTTCCTCCAATGCGCAAGTCCAGTAGCAAAGCCAAGAACTACAACTGCCCTCAAGAACCTTCAAATGAGGCTTTTAGGCTTTATGTGCCGTTTATTGAGTCCTTGAGTCCAAAAATCGTGGTCCGAGAAAACTCGTTGGGTATCCTTGGTTCTGTTGTGGTGGCACGTGCCATGATTTGTTGCTGTTTTTTTTTTTCCGGTGGGCGCCTTCAGGACAAAGCTGAGCATACCAAGAATACCCATTGTCACATCATAATAAAAGTTCCATTATTACCAAGATTTGTTCCATCATAATAAAAGTTCCATAATAAAAGTTCCATTATCACATCATAATAAGAATACCCAGATCATAATAATATAATTTGTTCCTGATTTGGCCAAAGTCAGTTTTACCAAGCCAAATCATCATCTCCGGAACCCGTTTTTTAGTGTCACTGTGAAGTTCGCCCGACCCAGCAATGAAAGGAGAGCGAAATGGCCATGCTTTTGTGAATGACCAGCCCCGAGCACCCATAAGACAAAGAGCATGAATATATTTTTTTCAGAGTTGCAACAACATTTACACAGACAAGATTACTTAGATGGGCCATGGGATTAGCGATTCCTGGTTAGTAAGTGGGGATTTGTTACCCCCAAACAATCCCAATGAAATAATCCATTTACTAACTAGTTAACTAACTCCATGGCCCATCTAAGTAGAATAATTCATCATTGGAACGGAACCCCAACGGACCTAACCAGCCGCTGCAGCTTCAGGTCGTGGCCTTTCAAGCCACCAGCGCTTTACACGTGGCCATGAGTTGATTTTCGTAGGACACACGCTTCAAAGCCCCAAGGTCCGTGGGGCGAAGTTGTGGGGACAGCGACTGTGAAGCTGCCAAGGCTACTTTCTAAAAATGGATCAGGAGTTACCGGCCCTACAAATTGCTTCGCAATCCAGCAACTTGCTCGGTGAAGCTACCTCCAAGCAAGTGCATCAGAACCTTTTGGAAGCCTTCAGAATTCGGTTTCAACAGCCACTTGTGCATCTGGGCCTTCCCCATTCCTCCCTTTCCTCCCATTCTCACCGTGGCTTTGTGGAGGCCATGGTCGCACTGCTAGCGGCGCACTTCCAGCCTGGCAGCTACGATCTTCTGCGAAAGAATTGCAACTCATTCTCTAGCCCTTTGACTGATTTAGCATGCTTTCCTCTAGCCATCATCCTTCAGAAGGACTCATACGATCTCAAATGACTCATTGGGGAAATCAACGGCAAATTCCCAAAGACCACCACAGGAGGCAATGTGTGGCCAGACAAATTTCAGTTTTGTATGTTTTGTGTCCATTCAATACTTGACACGCAGCGAGATTAGCGTCGAAGGTTGCGCGCTGCATTACTTGCTGGAAGCATCGAGTCTTGGCTTTCGGGATTCTGTCTCCATTGGATCCTCTGTTGGCCTGTTGGGCTTGGTTAGAGCATTTTGGCATATTTTGGCATCAAGCACCCACGGTGCAACGTATATGGTAGCAGCGATCATGCTTAAGTGACTTAAGTGCTTAGGGCTGCTGAAAGATGTTGAGAGAAAGGAGGTCGATCTGGAGTCACAGATGTCAAAATTTGAGCGTTCCAAGTTGCTGCCTATGCTATTGGTGAAACTTCAGCAATGGTGGCGGTCCAATCCGAGGATGGATTCCAAGTACTCCTGCATGGAATCTATGGTTCAGAATGTGAACAACTACATCAATTTAGTTGCTTGCTCAGGGTGCGGAGTCCGTGAGTCTGTGCTTCAGCCTATTTCGGCCTTGATGCTATGGCCAGAAGCCTTGGCATCTGAGGTTTCTTTGGTCATGCCCGGGTATCAGCCCAATCCTTTCGCTGAAGGTTTCGGTCGCAAACTTAGCCAAATTTCTGGATCACCAGGGAGGCCAATCTGACGAGATTTATGGACATGTTACATGAATTGATATGATAAGATATGATCTACGTATATCGTATACATTGTTTAGTCAAGCATCTCTGTCAGCGAGTGCATTCTGACTTACACGTCTCATCGGTGGTTCTGTGAGTTTTCACGAAGCCTGTGCAGCCTGTGCAGACGTTGAGCTGGTGCGCCGCGACATCACGCTACAAAAGCATGTTCCACGAGGACCAACCGACCAACGGGCACCAACCCTTTGGGTGATGAGGATCTTCCTTTGAATCCAAGTTATTTTGGCTAGTTGCTTTGATCTGAACTTGAGGAAAACAGAGAAATGAGACCAACTGAAGCAGATAGCCGCTAGCGAAGTCTGATTTATGCATCCCATTCCTGGCTCAAGTTACCTACCCGAGTTACCCTACCCAAACTCGAGTTGTTGTGATTTCGCTCTCGCCATGTCGGCCCCAAAACTCTGGCGCCAGTTTTCCCGGTGTTTCACTCACTATGTGTGGAACCAATTGCAATCCAGGACTAGGATTTCTCTTCCAAGCTACTGCAGCAGGAACTACTGATTGCCAATGTTGCAGCCCGGCTGTAGCGCCTGTATAGTACTTGTGTCGGGAGTCACAGAACCTTATTCCTACACGCCTGTAGTCCCACTTCCTGCTGGCTATGCCCTCCTACGCGGACCGTATTGGAGGTGCGAAGGCTATGATCCAACCCTGAGAAGGGGTCTTACTATTGATCAATGTAAAGAGTCTTGTGCAAGCCCAAGCTTTGAGGGGTTGATATTCACCCGCAACCATCGACCAGGCGGTACTGTAGTGGTTGCTGGTGCTGCAGCAACTTGGACGAAGAGCAAGACACCGTTACTCAATGGTCCTTGTATGGACCTGTCTCAGCACCACCAGCCCTGGAGCTGTCATTGGTGACCCACACATCACGACTTTTGACGGCCAACGCTACACCCATATTAAGCAGGGCACCTTTTCGCTGTGGCACTTCTCAGGTGTGGAGACGGACTTTCATTCAGAAGAGATTGCCGGAACCAAGAAGCTTCCTGTTGATTGGCAAGTCTACGCACACTCTGACTTGTCGATGAGAAGCGAGCCCTTTATGAAGGACTGCAGTCCTTCATAAAGGGCTCGCTTCTCATCGACAACTCAGGAGGATTTGCGCGACAAATGCTTGAGATCACAGGACTGTAAGTGGAAACAAGTGGCCAAACCACAACATGAATGTCCAAATCTCCATGAAATGGAAGTCGCTCTCTATGCTGCAGACGTGAACAAGCAGCTTCGTACCTTCAGCGAAGTTGATGAACACCGAGCATTCCTTGGCCTGATAATACAGTCACACGGCTGTGATACTGAAAAAGCATGGGCATTTGAGAGAGGATGGGACAAAGAACGTATACTCGTTGGTGGTTTGGAACATGAATTTTATTTTCCGTATATGGGATAATCATCCCAACTGACGAACTCATATTTTCCAGGGGGTAGGTATACCACCAACCAGTATACCGTTTTGAAGATTGCATTTATGATTGCCTGGGCGCTGGCTGTGCCGGCCTAAGACATATTATATAAGTTAATAGAAGTGTCGCCGTTAATATATAGTACCGACATATGCAGGTCAAAGTTCGGAAGCCTTCCAAATCAAACAGCATCCAGTGGTTTGCTGAGCCACAGGACCCAAGGAGAGGCAAAGCCGTGCTTGGAACCTCGTGCGGCGCTTGCGGATGGCTGCCAGGTGCCACAAAGCATGGAACATGTAATTCATGTACCTTCTTTCCCGTGAAAGTGAAAGGGTGTTGTAAAGAATATCATTTTTGCATATTTTTTTGCATCCGTTTGTTTTGGTATCTGAGGTATTTGTTTGTATCTGAATGAGCTATCAGCTATCATCAGCTATCTATTTCTTGGTTCTTCCATAGCTTTTCCCCATGATCTGCCGCCAGGAAAGCCAAGGCCGGCGGGGAATTACTCCGCCAGGTCCTGTGTGGCTCCAAGACCTCGCTACTTGGAGTCGTGATTAACCAAGGGGGGTGCCCTGATGGAAGATTTCCGAAACAAGATGGGTCTGAGAAAAAAATATATATATATTTAATGGTGATTATTATGATCATACCTTATATTCATAGTTATTTATATATGTCTGGGTAAATTTCATCACGACCGAAACCTGTCCTCCCGAAGCCTGGGAATAATCGCTAGTTTTTGGGGAATTATCCCAATATGGTCTTATTTCAGGTTAGTGAAAAAAATATAATTTGCCCAGATATGTGTGAAAAAATGGGAACAAAACAGGAAGATGATGGAAACTCATGATTAAATGATGAGGTATATATGATTCATGGATTTAAATGTATATTATACATGATATGATTCATATGTATACATACACAATAATGTATATATATATATAGATATACTCCATGAAATGGCATGTAGTGTGGAGAAACGATGATGAACCAGTGAACAGAACGGGCTACAGTATGTACAGCCAATTTTCAGACAACGCCAAATGGGGATTGAAGCCAAGAAGAAATCGGACGTTGGCCAATCCTGCGGCTGCCTCCTGCAAGATGCAGGATTTGAGGGGGTTCCTAATTTTGGTGTACTTCAGGCAGATAATGCTTGCAATCCACCTCAAAAGGTTTAAACTTTCCTTGTAGCGTCTTGACAGTGAGCATCTTCAAAACTAGAGGCTGTGTTTTCTGCAAACTCTTCACTGATGCATTACACAATTATAATTATATTACACAAGCGATTACCAGTACGCAACTAGAATGATTATACACAATTATACATTACTACATTCCATTATATTGTACTAAATCATATTACATAAATTACTAACTAAATAAATCGATAACAAACTAACTAACTAAATCATATTACTAAATAAATCTGTTATATAAATGATTTAGTTAGTATTACTAATTACTATATTACTAAATCATTTTAATTAGCTATAATATTTTAATATACCATATGATATTAATTAAAAAATATATATATATATGTATGCATCGTGTTTGGCAGGCACTGGGTGTGCATTATCATTAGGGTGAGTATGTAAGCTGATGAATCCATTTTGGCTCAAGTCTGAGCCAAACTGGCTTCATCGTTCTTTCTTTTGTTGGGGTACCCACACCACTTCTAGGGAGTTACCCTAGGTTCAGTGGTTTCTCGTTCCTCTACTAGGGCGCTACCCTAGAGTACAGAGGTTACGAAGGTGGGAGGTCACCCCCTCGATGCCAAGGGCCTCCATCGTCGTTCGGCCCGGTTGGAATGAGGCGGCCCACACGGATGTGGAGCTGCTTCATGCGGCTGCCTACTACGAGTTCAAGACGCACGTGGAGAGCCTACTCCAGCGGGGCTTGGTGGCAGAGGCCACCCGACTGTGGGCGTCCGTGTGCCAAATTGATCATTTCCCCCCACATCCAATTGGGTTGGGGGTGCAGGGACTTCCCCCTTTCAGACGGTCACCTTGTATGGAAGAAAACTGTAGGAGGTGTACTGAGTATCAGGGAGGATTCAAGTTCCCTTGGATCGGCACATGGAACAGCTCAGCTGTCTTGGCTCTGCCCGGGAGTGACCCGCGGCGTGCGTGGCAATCCTACTATGATCGCCTGGGCGAGGCGAAGCTGGATTTGCTACTCATCGAGCCGCTGCGGACTCATTGGACGGCTCGGGACTTTGCGCCGGACAACATCTTTGGCTTGGTCGCCTTCATCGAGCACAATGCCGATAGCATGGTCGACCTCACCGAACTTTGGGATGTGTGGAGGACCTGGCAATCCCCACAGCGTGGATGGAGGGACCCATCCTTGGTGCCCATCCCGGCTGACCTGGTTGCGTGGAGAGCACCACGGGCCAGAGCAGTCCGGTCGTTATGGGGTTGGCTTGGTGCCATGGAGGCTGGGGAGGAACCCTTGCCACCTTGCAATGCTTGTGGACTGCCGACACCTGAGCTCTGTGAGCGATGCTTCTCCTCCGTGTGCAGCACCTGTCCACCCTCCCAGTGTCCAGGATGTCACCCCGTCTTGCGTCGAGACCCATATGCAGCAGCTGCGGCCTAGTGATGTTTGTTTGTCACCTGATGATATTGAGGTTTGGTCTGCAGTTTCAGGCCCAGCCCGTACGCTCCAAACCTTGGCAGCGGTGGTGTCAGGCGTCGCCATGGCGTACCACCCAGGTGCCTACGCGGTGCAGGCTGCTGGTGAGGCTCCACCTTGTGCAGAGACGGCGATGGAGAGGGTGGCATCCACTCGTGTTGACCAGTGGCGAGCTCAATGGGGACTACATGATGAGACTGACTTCGCATATGCGTTTGCCTCCTATGACAGCGCAGTTGCACATGGAGGACACCATGTGGCAGACGCGTGGTTGCAAGCGCGATCCAAGACTGCCGAAGCTGACCTCATCCCTCAAGCGGCTGCCGTGGCTGAGAGCTCGGGTTCCAGAGATCGGCCAACGACATGGCCTGCGCCCAAGGCGTCCATGATGAAGAAGAGCAAGATGGTCCAAGCTCTTCGAGTCAGGCCAGGCCCAGACCAACCAGAGACGGTGCTGCTACGAGCTGCGGCATTGAGGAAGGCCTTTTCTCAGGCCAAGGTCATGCGTCCTCAAGGGGAGTTGACCCCGGAGAGGTACGCTCAGTGGCAGGATGCTCTGGATACTTTGTCTAAGCGGAAGGTCACAGAGGCCGAAGGAGCGACGGTGGTGAACGCCCTGAAGTCTTGGGCTGAGTTGCGGGCCTACATGGAGCAGAAGGACCGCTTGTTCCCACCGGATGCATTGGACCTCTATGGCTTCTTGCAGAATGGCACGTCGGGGCCTTACCGAGCCTTTCACTCCTTGAAGTGGTTCTCCAAACATGGTCGGTTGCAATGGGACTTCAGTGATGTACCAGTCCCAGCTCGTAAGAATCCACCCAAACAGGCAAACCCAGAACAGGCTGTTGCAGTTGAGCCCCCAATGATTGCAGCGCTTGAAGAGAAGATTCAATCGTTGTATGAAGCAGGGGACCCGCGTTGGAGGGGCTTACTGTCCAGCTGGCTGGTTACCTTTGGTGTCCTGCGATACCAGCACATCATGCGTGCCAGGCCAGTCAAAGTGACCCCTAGCTCCTTTCATGGCTACTGCACGAAGGGGAAGCAGAAGGCCAACAGGGGCGGGTTCTCCTTCAGCATTCCGGCCACATTCGTCAACGGATGGGCTTGGGGCTCGGCCCTATTCAGGGACTACAGCAGTCTGGATAAGGCTAAGCAAGCAACCTCAGGGTTGTGCTTTGATGCGGAGGGCACCGCATACACATTGAAGTTCGTCAACGAGCTCAATCGTGAGGTCTTTGAGCACTTGGTCCAGAATACAGAGGATTTGTCTTCCTACTCCTGGCGGCGAGCAGCACCTACAGTGGGCACTCTGATGAAGCTGACGCCTCTCGAGCTATGCTCATTGGGGGACTGGGCAGATCGTTCCCAGATCCCAAAGGAGGCGACAATGCCTATGCACTACAGTGCAGCTAGGTACGAGTCTTCATTGAGGACCAAACACATTGTGCGGCTGGCTATGGAGAAGCTGCTTGCCCATGAGTCATGGGAGACCATCCCAACGGAGACCTACGCTGAGGCCCTGGAGTATGCGCGCCAGAACGTAGACAAGGTGCTGAAGCAGGAATCCAGGGTCATTTGGGCAGCTCCTTTGACGAAGGCTGAGATGCAGGCGCGCTTCCAGCTGTCGGAGGCGCTCAAGCTCAAGGCCGCGGCCAAGCGAGAAGAGGCACAATCCAAGGGTGGCCTGTCTGCGATGCCGGCATCTCTCAATGGGAAGGTGCTGAGCGCATTCATGAAGAATGGGGCACCCATTTGTGGAGCTTTTCAGACAAGGTCTTGCCCCCTGGAGAAGGAAGTGTGCCCTGGTCGCCATGCATGCGCCATTCTGCGCAAAGCTGGACGAGTTTGCGGTGGAGGCCATCCGGCATGTGAATGCCACGACAAGAAGTTCATCAAGGTGGAGGAGATGACTGGCGAAGGGCCTGGTTCGGGATCTGCTAAGGCCAAGCCTACTAGCAAATCCACGGAGGAGCGACCTCCGGAGCCAGCTGCCCCTCCTAAGGCGTCAGTGAGGCGCCCACGGTCCCCACAAGGGCCGCCGTCTAAGGCACCGCCAGCGAAGAAGGCCAAAGCAGCCCCAGCTCCACCTCCTGCGCCATTACCAGCCCTGGTGACTAGTTCGGAAGAAGAAGAAGTCGAAGTTGAGGAGGAGGACCTTCCGATTCCAGAGGCACTGGATACTCGAGGGCCCGACCAGAAGTTCGACAGGTTGGCGACAGTCCACGGCAAGACAGCGGAGAGCCCGAGCCTTATTTATCAGAATAGGGCAGGGGGCAAGCTGTGGCTGAGTGGAATTCCAACCAGGAACACGGCAAACCGCTTTCCAAAGGGAGTTACCCTTCAGATTGCGTGCATGGCCGAAGCCCCATCATCCAGAGGAGGAGTGGTGCTCACAGATGCCCTATTGAAACACTTGTGTGTGGCCCATGGCGGTTGGAGGAACAGGGACTTTGAAGAAGTCTGGCCTTTGCTGCGCAATACGATGTATGCAGGCGAGTCGGCCTTGATCCATTGCCTATCAGGGCGCCACCGAGCAGGTGTTGGGGGCTGTGTGTTCCGTGCGCTGCTAGCCCAGGAGAGCTGGGATGTTGCAGTGGCCTACGTGAAGAGCTGCAGGCGCTCGTTGGACATTCCGGGGATCATCAATGAAACGGGTATGAGGTCGTGGGTAGACACGACTCTCAGGACCAGCTCCCTCAGGAACCCGTTCCCAGAGCCCTGCGGCTACATTGCGACACTGCGTTCAAAGGTTCATTTGGAGCTCAACAACGGCCAGACCCTCTGCTCCCACAAGCAATCTGCCGAGCGTGCAATCCGCTTGGTGAAGCCAATGACGACGCAGGACATGAGGGAGGCCATGGCTTGGGGCCGCGCTTTTTGTGACGGTTGTTTGG